ATAAATAATAATAAAAAGAAAACCACAGCTTGGCTACATCAAAGAAGGCTCTAGATCTCCAATAATGGAAGTTTTAAGGACAGACTGAAAATATCTGTCAAAAACAGATCGCACATTCTTGAGCCTGGCTCAGCTAAGGAGACTACAGTAGTTCTTATAAATGTAAAGCTGAAATGGGATGTTATTTTAAGATTTGGTGATGAAATTTAAGGTCATTGTATAAAATTACAGTAGTTTTACAGCTGCTAAATATGTACATAAACACACAGACTTCTGTAAGACATCTGACTTCATGCCACAATAGACTATAACTAGGTTAAAAACTGACCAGTGATAGCTCAAGATAGAATTATTCATGACAGAGCAGCATGAAAGAGAGAAATTTCCACTGAGGTTCCAGAGGAAGAGCTAGGCCTCGTGTTACTCAGTGTTATGCTGTGCTCACTTCCAGCTCACTGATCCCAGTTACCACTCAGAAAAGCTCCAAGTCTGTAGCATCTGCTCTCATTGTTTCTCTACACAGGGAAGGCCACACTGTATCTGAGGAACATCAGAGCCAAAATTAACACATTCAAACAAAAAAACTTCACTATAAACAGAGCAAAAAATGCAACATAAATTAATAGTGTGTTACAGTAACAAGTGCTGCTTCATGCAGAAAGAGCATGGCAAAGCAAAAAGAGAGTTCTTACAAGTCATTGTTAAGAACACAACTAGGATGCTGCAAGTTGGGGTGCCTGCTTTAAAAACATTAAGATGATGGAGATGACGATGGAAAGGCTTAAACCTATACTGAAAAAGTGAGGTAGATACCAGTTATTGCTGAAGTACAGTGACCTTTAGAGCATCTAATACCCTTCCAAGCTTTAACTGCTTGAAGAGTTCATAATGCCTTTATTTTCAAGCATCTAGTAACATACAATGGGCAAAGTCTAACATGATCAACATGAGTATCTATTTTCAAGATAGCCTTTTTCTGTCAAGTGGCCTGTATAGTCTCATAGCCCTTCTGTCTGAAGCCCTACGAGTTATTCTGTCACTCACTCTCTTGCACAGTTCTTACTCTGCATTGTTTATTTTAGATAGCAAGTACTGTCATGCTTAGTTCAAAGGCCAAAAGAGGAAAGTGACTACTGCTCAGCACCAAGCATTTCTGCACTAGACTCCTCAAGGCCTGCAAAGTTATAGACAGAGAGAAATGTTAATCACGAGAAGTAGTAACGAAGTTATAAGGTACAAAAAGAGACAACTCTGAATCACAGAATCATAGAACAGTCTGAGTTGAAAAGGACCATAATGATCATCTAGCTTCAATCCCCCTGCTATGTGCAGGGTCGCCAACCCCCAGACCAGGCTGCCCAGAGACACTTCACAGAAGTCAGATAGCAATATCTCTCCATTTTACCAAGTCAGATGTTCCAGAGACCAGGCCCACCAGCAGGACAATATGCCTTTACAGACACAGCACCAGAAGTGCTACAAAATGTAAGTAGATATTAGAATACTGCATGGGATTTCCCCCACCCCCCGCCAAGTCTCTAACAGCAGACCTCTTGGCTTCACAGTTCAAAGCAGCCAGGATTGCGGCCCAGTCGACCTGAGTTCTGGCTCCAACTTTGCCTCAACACTCATGTCAGAACACGTTCTCCAACAAAACCAGGTTACATTTCTCCCTGTTCTACGCCCAACTCCCCAGCTGTGGGATAGGGGAGCTTTGATTAGTTGCACTCATCACCGCAACAGCAGTGAGGCAGCCCTGCATACACAACAACCAAAACAAGTTATTTTCCTTCTGTTGAATTTCCTTCTGTTGTGATGATTCTCTTCTAACAGTCAAAACCTTCAAACTCCCAGTGACCACATCTGCACAGAATCACAAACTTCCCAACATATAAATACAATGTTGAACTTGTACAATCCTATACTGGATCTATGCTCCTTGTTTTCATCAAATAAGCAGCATAAACAGCAAAAAAAATTCTCTTTTAAAGGTCAAAGTGTCCAAGTACTTCCAGGCTCTCTCAGAAGTTCAGCTACAGAACACAGTGCTAACAAGAAGCCCTTAAGAAATATGTCAGGAACTTGAATGTTTTGTACCAGCTTTGAAACAGAACATTTATTTGAATAGAGGAGGATCACAGACTTCAGTTTGACTTCTGTTCCATCACGCGTATTTTAAGATGTATCTGCCTCCTAATACAGTTTCACTACGATGTTTATCTCCCCCACAGCTTCTTCTACTTCCATCAGTTCTTACTGGTCTTCCCAACTAAGAATTAAATGTTCAGGACAATGGCTGATTCACTTATTAAAAAAACCTCTGTCTAGCTTGACTGAAGAGCAAATTGAAAGTCTATACTTGCCAATGAAAATTACAACAGGAACTCATCACTCAGCTGCTTCAAACTACACTGCTGGTGGTTTCATAGAGTTCCATTTTTCAAAACTAATTTCTACAACATCTAGCATTCAAAATGAGTTTGAATTGCTTTAATGATGACTGACAAAAATCAAAATGCTAACTTAATATTTAATGCTGAATAAACCACAAAGCTTAATTTGTATGAGTTAAAGTGCCCTAGAAATGCAAGAAGACCATTTCTAACATACATTACACACACACATTCATGCTATAATGTATTCATATCAAGAACATTTCTATCCACTGTGAAAGATCATATTAATCAAAGATAATCAGTTCCACAGAACTGATGGAAGGGAACAAATCATTGAAAGCAGTTGTGAGTTATGTAACAAAACAAAGACCCCAAATCCTCAAAACAGGGCAAGTATTCTTTGATAAATTGTCTGAGTGAACCTGATGCATGATATTCACAAAACAACAGGCAAAAGGATAATTTAAAAAGCTCTAGAGATGCAAGGGTTTTCTTTTGTTTTTAAATACCTTTTACTAATTTAAAGGGAAAGCTTCATTGCTTTTCTAAGTTACTTATGCAGTAAATCTAGAATTATCTTGGATTATTCTCAAGTTCAAATGTTTACCTGGAAGCCTCCAGATCAGACTGAACTTTTACTGTGTCAAACCATGAGGCTCTCCTTCCTGGAAGCACATCAAGGTTCTCGAAAGAAATCTGATCAGCTCAGTGAGATTAATGACAGAGGTGGTCACGCTGATAAACTAGCAGAACAGAAACTTGCCTAAATGAGTATGGAACCACATCTAAGACAAGGTCATAATGCACTCTTGCCACTTTGTGCCAAAACTGAAGAGAGATCTCTTTTAAATTGATCTGAAAGAAAAGTATCAACATTGTTTCCCTGCAGAAGGTCTGCAGTTGTTTCTGGAAAAAAAACAGACACTAGATACTCAGACTACAACCACCTCTGTAGTAATGACACTGATTGCAACATTACACGAGGGGACGTCCAGCTGAGTTCTACTGCAAGGGGAATGGCAGGGGAAAGGTGTTCTGAAGTTAGCAGACTTCTTTGCACACAGGAAGGTAAATCAGGTATCAAGGATTTTTCCTCAATCAACAGAAGTTCTCAAACATGTTTACCTCTGTATGTCACTACTTGTGTAAAGCAAGTGCTCTCAAAACAAGATATTCTTAATGAAATCAGTAACTGCATATCCTGGAAATTTACATTTGCTTTTAACCACCTTTTTTTTCCCCCACCTACTTCTGTTTCCCAATTATTCTAATTACCTTACTTTTCTGCTGGGCATGCAGTCATCTTGCCTCAGGATACTTCTCCACAATGTTTCTCACCAAGCCATGACAGAGTATTATAGTTATTTCACCTAGTACATACGTTCACACAGCATGTAGCTGCTGTCTGACTGCAACACCTCAATCTGAAGTCTCAACATACAAAACTTTGATGTCCCTCTTCTCTTTATTTTGAAAGAAATAAAAATTGGGGTTAGTGTAAATTGAGTTTCACATGTCTAGCAAAGGAAAAAACAATTAACAACTTCCCTTTACACAAGAGGAGAGAGAGGTACATATGAAGATAGGAATGTCTTTTGGGCAATAACTTAACATAACATACATTTTCTAATTCACATATCTATTCACAGCAGTAAAGCTGGGTAAAAGGTTTCTTGGCTTTAATTCTTAAAGAGATGACATTAAGTATCATGGAATAGATAGCATATACAGCAAGATAGTTTTCTGGCATTTCATTGAAATGGAAATGATCTGGAGAGCGAGTTCATTTGAAGCCAGGAACTAAGACAAGGAAACAAGTGATTTTTGCAATGCCTGAAAGCCTAGAATAAACTCAGTATCCTATTCCTCTACAACAGGCCTCACCACAATAGTCAGGACAGCACAAATACTATGAGCACTTTAAAACTGCCTTTCAATGGCCTCAATCATTTTTCAAATACTCTAACAGCAAGTCACTGACAACCTCAGATTTTCTTGCTCATAGTACTCACTGCAAAATCAATCTCACATTATTTGAGTTAGAGATAAGGCATAACAAGAAGCAAAGGGAATAGAGAAGAGCAGCTAACTGCACTGTAACTTCAGTACAATAAGTTTTGTAGTTTCAAATTCAGAATCATTCACCGATTCAGAGGTGCACCTAGTGTTGTGAAGCAGAAGACCGGCAAAAGGAATGGGTACAATCCCACAAAGCTAAGAATCAAGGTAAACTAAAGACATCCAGACTTACACGAGGGAATCAGTCATTTGAGTTTAGTAAGGAGGTTGGAACTAGATGACCTCTAAGGTCCCTTTGCACCCAAGCCATTCTATGATTCTGTAACATGCTACACGATAGGGAACAAAAGTTAGACCAATGGTTTTGTAGCTTGAATTCCTAAATATCCTCTGCAACTCCCCAGCTAACTTGCAGGTGATGCAAAACAGCTGAGGAAGTATTTGAGAGTTGCAAATTCTTCATCACTCACTTAGCTAGAGTAATGCAAATACAGGAACAGTTGACTTCAGTGAAAGAAGTACTCTTATATGTTCTCAGCACCAAACAGGAAGCAATCAATGTGGGCAGAAGAACTAAACACACACCTTGAACACCTCAGAGAAGAAACCAGAGCCAATTTTCTCACACGTGAAGTCATCGAGACGGGTAAGTCTGGAAAAGGCACTTATCAGGGCTCTGTATGAAGAGGTCCAAACTCTCCCTATCTGGGATGTAGTTCCATCTCCTCCAGTGCCACCCTCAAAGTCCTCAGCACGCTCCAAGCGAGGTGGAAATCCAGCTATTGAATTCCTTTTACTTCGGTCCATTTTGAAAACAAGGTTTTCTTTCGCTAAGGGAGGACTTCTCACATCTTAGGGACTTTGCTGTCTTCTCACCTCTTGTTGGGTGCTGAAATGCAAGAAATTGAGATTATTGTAAGCACATCTGAAGTTTGATAGGACTCCAACACAATCTAATCAGCGCGAGGGAATACGGAAAAAGCAGAAGACACTCAAGTAGAGCTTAAAAAAAGAAAATAAATACACCCCACCCCCACAACATCATTAGAAAATAAAATCTAATGAACTTTTCTTTTGGCTTCTTGAAAATACTTTATGTTCTGGCTGGAAATAAATTGATCAGTGTAGAGCTCAGAACTTTAAATGATAACACAGGTTTTCACCCAACCACCCCCACTCCACTTTTTTTTTTGGTGGTTTTTCCCTCCCCCCCCCATTCTGATTGCTAAAGCAAACAACTAAGCAGAAGGAAACCCACAAACTCTTACACTCTATTCTGCTTCAGCAGCAGCTGGTGACCAATACAGTGCTATTACAAGAACTCATTTCACACAAGGGGCTGGACAAAGGATCTCTAACTATAAAAACCAGATCATCTTTCAGTTGCCTTAAGGAAAACTATTAGCTGTCAATAACAGTAGCTGGAGAACCAAAAATTCTGTTTTCCAAAGTTTCCACCTATGCATATTCCAAGACCAATTCCTTAACTGGTAAGAACACAGATTTGTATCCACCAAGGATCTAGTCTACAAATGTATAAAACCCATCAGCAATCCTGCAACAAAAACAAAGTCTTCTTGTAAGAAACTGCCAGAACAATTCTCCCCAAGCACACTTTTTAAAGCTCTATTAATTTCAGCTCAACTAAAAACACAGGAAATAAGATACATTTGCCAAAGTACAAGGGAAGAAAAAAAAAAACAGTGAGGGAATTTTTTTCTCTGTAAGAGGATGATGAAGTAATCAGGATGACTGGAGCCCATCAAATCCAACTTGGATTGACAAACCTGACAGGTGGCCTACTTTTTTTTTCCCCCCTTTAACCTTACACTCGGGAGGTTATCCATATTTCCCACACTGAACTGTTCATTTACAGCAACTCAGCACAGCACACACAACGCCAGAAAGAAGCAGGGAGCAGACTGGGCATTGAGCAGACTTATATTACACAGAAGCTGAGCAATACACTCAATGTGATGAGAAGCTCACAAAGAGGCACAGGCACCAGCTGTCCCCTGAACACACAGCAGTTCTGCTACACACATCTTACATGCCATACATCTTTCAGAGATGCTCTGTGCCAGCATGTCAGAAAGTCCTTTCCTGCCTTCACAAGGAAGCTCTGTTGAGCTGCATGAAATTAATTTCAGGTTGTCCTCTCCAAAAAGGAAAAAGAAAAATTTCCAAGATGTGTGACAGCATTTATTTCAAGAATCTTATCACTTATCTATCTAAATGAGTCAGGATGAAGGCTGGATAAAGAGCCTTACCAGAGCCTGTTTACAAAAATGTAATCTATCCAGTCCCACGTTGTGGTATTCCTACAGCATTTTACGTGCAGAGTCCCACATGCGTGAGCTCACTGAGCTTTGCAGATGATAGTACAACGTATCTAATGTTCTGGCGTGGCTGACTGCCACAGAGAAGATCAGTTTCCAATTTCTGACCTCATATTCTTGCCCCGTGAGCCCTGAAGGTCTGGAAGTGGTACAGAAGCACCATGGGAAGATCAAGTCTCATATCTCCCCAGCTGAGAAGAAATAGCCCCAAGAACCTCCTCAACTACAGAGAAGATGCCCAGGAATTTCCAAAGCATACTTAAATAATTCCTTTTGATCTGAATGCAGTGAACTAACACTTGGTTACTTTTCAAGGAGATGAAGAATTATCTGTGGAAGGAGGACAGGCAAGAAACAATGATGTTAACCATTCCTCGTCTGGAACAAAGCATGCAAGTATGTTTGAAGACTGATGGAAACGGAGGAGCAAGAGTTAGCCCCAGCAACGCCCAGTGTGACACCCCAGTATCTGTAGTCCTACAAAGTGGGCCGTGAGGCTCACGGAAACCCCAAAACACCCAGAAAGCCACACACCTGCACTGCAGCCCAGCAAGCAGCAAAGCAGGGCAGTGAGCTTTGAGACAAAGCAACAGATGCAGAAACAAAAGGAAGAAGACTGGTGTTTTCTAACAGGAGGAAGACACCAAGTTAGGTAAGTGTTATTAAGCAGGAAGAAAAGCCTAACTCTGTCTTAAGGATCCAGATACCATGAACAAAAGCTCAGCTCTCGATTTACATCCTTTTGATTGAAATCACATGGTGAACTTTGCAAAACTCTACACAAATCCCACAATGAAAGAAGAGATTCAAAGCACTTCGCACAACATAAACCCCAAAAGGTTTTGCCATCTGGATTCTTAAGTAACCCATTCCTTCATTTCTACTTGCCCAAGTTTGCCTTATTTTCAGACAGCTACACAAAATCCTTGGGAATTATGAGGATAGAGATCCATTTGCCCAGCTTCCTGCCCAGGACTGCATCCACAGAATTAGAGGAAAATTTCAAGTGGGCACAATTCCAAGACGGACTCCTGTCATTTTGGCCAATTACACTAATGATCACATTCTCAGTCAAATCAACCAGGGTTTAATTGACTGTCAAGTCAGTCTGAGGTACTTTAATTTACTACCTTGTATGATTAATTAAAGTGTGCCGAGGAGAATCCAAAGCTGTCCTGCTGCAGTATGAAGCTCTGTTGGATGGCCGGGTTTTCTGTTTGTTTTAAAGATTGGTTTAGCTTAAAGATTCCTGAGCTGTGCTCAACTCCCAGCTAAGAAATGACATGGAGCACTCTACAAACACTTCCCAATAAACTCTCAGCTTCCAGACCACTTTTTCTGACATCCATACCCCAACAAAAACGCACACTGCCCTGCCAAGCCAAAACGTTTTACAAACACAGATCCCAAAATGCATGCCTGCCCTACTCGGCTGCATTACAGGACTGGAAAAGCACAATTTTAGGCAGTTTCCTCCTCTCCAGCATTTCAATGTATTGGTCTAAAGAACAAACAAAAAAAGTTAATGTTACATTAAGATCAGTTTCTGCGCTGCGTGAACGCATTGGTTTTTGAACTGTATAAATGGTTGTAACTACAGACACCACTGGCAGTGATTTGGTTAGCTAGGGGTTGGCTTTCAAAATCGATGTCCGAGCTGGCAAACAGTTAAAGATGGAAACCCCACAAAAGCACATCAAGTTCTATCCTGCACACTGGCACAGAATGAATGAGATACATCCACCAGTGCTTCCAATTTTACACTTCTTGTAGGCACAAAAACAGGTCAGGCTTCTCGACTTCCACAGCACCCCTTTCATGCCCCAGGGCCCAACACGAGATCCCTCCAAAACCATTCCAACTCACTACAAACACTTTGTGCCCCTGGTATCTTCATAATACGTGCACACTTGCACTTAAAAGTCAAACTCCAAGTTTCCTAAAAGATGGCCTTAACAACAACACCAGCCATTTTTAGACACAGAAGACTGTCGCTAGGCATTCGGCCTGGAAAGCAATAAATCTGGTGGATGCGTGTTATTAATTTGAAAAGGTTTTCTGAAGAGCAGGATGCCAAAGCTTTGACATAAGACATTTGCCAAGAGTTAACTATTTAAACTCATCTCCGACGCAGTTTAAAACCCAGCACTACAAAAACATGGAGGAATTAGCCTGGCAAGTGCCATTCAGCAAAACAGCCTGGGGGAAATAAAAAAGGAAAGAAGAATTCACTGCAGTAATGTGCAAATTGCAGAAAAGCTTTGAATGATCAGAAGGAGCCAGATCTTCCAACGACTGAATTGACTTTGAGGTCATTAACCTAGAGGAGAGGGGGAAAATTGCTTTGGAAAGGAAACATGAGAAATCACATTAAATAGGTAAAGAGAAGCAAGCATTACACAACTTTGTTCCTACGTACTCTTATCCTTTTCTCTAACAGAGAAGCAGTAACTGGGTTGGCTGTAGCTTGGCCTCCAGTCTTTGGAAGAAGCATGCACAGACAGGGCAGCTATGAGTAGCAGAGCTGCGCAATGCTCAGCCCAGCTCACTCAGAAACTGCTTTACTCAGGTAAGTCACGTCACTTGAAAGTGAAAAACCCAACCTCTTCTATTGCCATTTTGTGAACATTTAGGTTTAATTGTATCTCCCCTGCTGGGAGAAATTCCCAGCTCCAGCAGGTAGGTACACAGCACGCAGCTGGGCTGATGGTGCTCAGAGGAGACCCGTGCTGGCCCAGGAATGGTTACACAGCCACGGGACCAGCGGCCGCAGAGCTGCGCCACGGGTTTGTAATGCAAACAAACCTCTGCGAGAGCCCAAGCTGAAACAAACAGTTCATTGCTTTTGTGACTACAGCCAAGTTTAAAACCAGAAAGAGACAAGCCATTAACCTAGTGCAGGGCCTGCGATTCAAGACTAAAGTGGTGGGTTTATAAACACCCACACAAAGCACAGGTATAAAGGCTGGCACGTGTTTAAAAGACAAAAAAACCCACACAAACAAAAACCACTTGATCACAGTAAGGAACTGTCAACACTTTCTGAGGACCAAATATAATGCAAAACCTAACTTGTACAAAAAACAAAAACATATTTGTTTCCTACCCTGGCTGCAGCCACACCAAGCCCCAGTACAGACAGACTAGGAGCCAGACGTGAAACATTGTTACAGTCAAACAATCACTCAAGTAGATCACATACAACACAGCTGCTGCTTCAGATGGATAATTTCAATACATCCCGTTTATCCAATAAAGCAGGAAAGTTGCAATGTATCCAGGAAACAGCAGCATTCCCTATGCTTCTGCAGAGCTCAGTAAGGATGCTGAGGAGCTGCTCCAGCCATCCAGGTGTCAGCAGACTGGCACTGCTCAGCAGTGAGAAAAACAAAATGCACCAAAGCCTTCCTGTACCAGAGGTGCTGGAAAACCTCCGTAGTCAAGGAACTCCCTCTCTGCCTCTCCGCCAGCTGTACACCGAGGGCTGACATCTCTGTTGCACCGAGGGGTTCTCACTGTGGAAGGGAAGCAACCTGCAGTTGTTTTCATGCAGCCACGAGATAAGTTGGTACAGCAAAGGCAAGGAAAGAGAATACCAATGATTGAGAGTGGAGAAAAATAAAGCAAGCCGGCTAAGTTTCACGCCTGACTGACCCTTTACAGTCATACAAGATGGTGAGTATTTGAACGTCTTCCACCTAAAAGCACCATCTTCACAAATACTTAAAAAGCATTCTATAATGTACCATTAAAATACAGCTGGAACACCAGTCCGTGTCCGAGGGCTCAAGTTACTGTGAAACACCCAGGCCTGCACTTACGTCAGATACCGGCTGCACAAATGGAACAGTAACATGGTCTCAACTAACTTATTTATGAATCTTTGCAGTGAGAACAGGCACCCGGCTCTGCTGCTGTTACAGTGCTGGAGAGCCTGCAGTCTGGTGGTCTTCACACAATCAGAAGCACCCTGGGTACCAGGATGAGTCTCAAGCATGTATGACATCAGGCTTCAAAGCCAAAGTTATTTCAACTAACATGCAGGCTGTTGCACGAGCTATGGCAGCACCCCAGTGCAACTGATGGGACAATCACATTACAATAAAAGTGGCCTAGGTACTACCAGAAGTGTGTTCAACTTAAGAAAAAGTGACAGGGCCATATGAAAAGAAGCTTACTAACTAAGTAAAAAAGAGGACTTGGCTGCAGACAACAGATGGAGCCACTGGGATACAGCAGCTGATTATCAGATGTACTTACTGATAAATGCACAACTTCAAATGAACGTGGTAGGGTACTAATAAGCAGTAAAATGGCTAGGAATTAATTGTCAATTTTGACTGGTTTTGATCCTTGCCCAGAAGAGTGCTTAATTTTTGCCAGGCTGCAAGACACCGTGCTGCAAGGATAAAATAAAAAGCTCTCCCATGGTGCAAATGCAAGGTTCTTGGCTAGCGTAAGAATACAGAAAGGAAACCTATGATGCAAGGGAACCACAAGCTTTGCTCTTCCGCAGCAGGCACAGGAACAGACTCCTCCTTTAACCCTACATTTCTTCCAGGAATTTGTGAAGTCATTTGTGTAAAGAATCACAATGGCAAAAGCATATATATAAAATTGGAAGGTGTTACAACGTCTCACCCGGACCAACTGTCTCAATCTGCAGTCCCAAATGTATTAAGTACTGTAGCAAGGATTGCTCTGTCCTTACCTTCTGCTCTGCCCCCCTCACCAGCTGCTCACCCTAACAGAACAGCACAGAAGTTCCAAGCAAAAAAAACCAGGACGGCACACACTGCCAGCAGGTACAGGCACACACCCAGCTACCTTCAGCTCCAGCTGATCACGAAGCAAAACAAAACGGACAACGGAATAACAGCCATGTCTACAGCTGCACAGTGCAGTCCTGCTCAAGTCAGAAAATGACGTTTTTATTGGCCTGTCAGGATATGGTATGCAACAGTAACTTCCACAAATGATGACTAAATAGAAAGGTTTACGACTATTCCACTGGGCATATCAGAGTTTCTCATAAAACATCTTATCTGAGGTTGTAAATTCCACTGCCTAATTAAGTCCGTGGAACTGTAAGGCTGTTGATTTTGCACACAATAAAAATATCCTAGAACTCTGCCCTCTATTTAGAGTTGGGTTTTTTTTTTTTGTTTTATTTTTCTCCAGCTGAAGCATAAAGACTGCTCACAGTATGGTGTAAATATCAGCTCTCAGTCATTTTAAGAGGACAAACCAGAAAGTAAAAGCATAAATAAAGCTGTAGGCAGCGCCCCTGACGTTTCAGCTTTCACCTAACTGCCGGCATACCTGTCAGAATATGCAAGAGGAAAGTCCTCAGCACTTAAAGCAAACGCAGTCCTCACCCTCAAAGAAACGCACTATTAAGAGCGATCTCCCACATGTACACACCGCCTTTCATCCGAGGGCCACCACGCAAACGTATATGCGCACACACCTGAACACTCCAGCCTGTCATTAACCCATGATTCACGTAGGGCAGCGCTCAAAATAGCAAAACCGGAGCCAATCTCACCCCTCCTGGCTCGGCAACCATTTCGCAGGCGATCCCCGCGTGCCTGGGCACCGTCCCGCTCGCCAAGCCCCTCACCGTGGGATGGGAACCCAGCTTCCCCGCGGCCCCCCCGCCTCCCTCCTGCACCTGCCCGCCCCGAGCGCAGCGCACTGCCTGAGGCCGGCGGGACCCAGGCGGCCCGTCCTCCCGGCGCTGCCGGACACCGCTCGCTCACGGGACCGAGACCCCTCCTGCCGCCCGCCCGGCGCTCAGCCCAGCTCTGCTCCCCCCCGCCCCTCTCGCGCGGCCCCGGCCCTTACCTGAACAGCGGCGGCGGCGGCGCAAGCGGGGCCTGCGGGCGGCGCGGGCACTCATGGCGACCTGCTCGTCTCTCAGCGGCTCGGTGAGGGTCTGCCCCGCCGCTGCGGTAAGCGAGGGGGCCCCATGTGAGGACGGAACCCAGATGCGGGACCCGCGACCGCCACGGCTCCGCCCTCGCTCCCCGCCGCCTCCGCCTCCTCCTCACGCGCCCAGCCCCGCCGCCAGCCTCACGGCCACTGAGCCGCCCACAGAGAGGGGAGGAGCCCAGCCGCTAGCCGCCTTCCGGAACAACCAATCGACGTCGGGGCAGTTTTGATGGACGGTGGCGTTTAGCCAATGGAGAAGGGGAAGGCAGGCGGAGGGACTCTCAGGTAATCCACGTGAGTACCGGCTTTTAATTGGTCAAGATGCACTTGAAAGACAGGAGGCTGGATCACTAGAAGCAGAGACAACGACTCCCAGGACAATCGCGGGAGCCAGTGACAGGAAAAAGTGAGGGGCGTTGCTAGGGGCGCCTCGCTCTCATTGGCCAGACTTCGAAGGCGGGTTATAAATAAGAGAGTTAGCCAGTAGCAGCGCGACTCAAGTGCTGACGGACGGGCAGGGAAGCCAATCCGCGTGTGTTTATTGGCTCCGGTGGGCGGGAAGCTGTCAGCGGGCGGCGCAGGCCCGTTGCCGAAGCGCTGTGTCCGGCGCTGCGCGGTCCGTCCCTGCTCTGTGCAGCTCCGTGCCTTCAGCGTTTGGCCCCGGCGCTTCCCTCGTGCTCCGGCCGGCCTGCTGCCTGCTGCCTGCTCGCTCCGAGGCACGCGGGGACGATAGCAGCGCAGCACACGTGGGGTTCCTTCGTTCGCCGACCCCCTCCTTGCCAAAGCTTGAGGATCAGAAGTCCTGGGGCGGCTCCTCCCACTTTCCTTGTGGATTTCCCTTGCTGGCAGCAGTTTTCCCACGCCCCCACATGCTAAACATCGAACACGCATGCAAACGCGTATTCCAATGACAGCCCAAGCGCGGGGTGCAGCGAAGCTGTAGTACTGAAGCCATTAAGCACCGCGTTCCGCTCCGTGCCACAACGGGCGGAGCCGCTCAGCTCCGCCGCCACCTCAGCACCCAGCGCCCGGCTCGGAGCGGGGATGTCGGGCAGACCGAACTTCCACAGCTGACGTCTTAGCGTGACATTTCGGCGCCGTACGTTTTGCTGCGCTCTGTCGAAAAGATTTTACGAAGCACACTCCGAAGCATCGCGGTGTCTGCGGTCATTCGCCAGCCCTGAGCGCTGGAACCAGGTGTCCCCCGGCTCCATCTCTGCACCCTGCCGGCCTGGCAGCTATTAGTTAGCTTCGAGGTGACACCTGGTGGCAGCTTTTCATTACTTCTTTTGGAAGCCAATCCCAGAGCTAAAGCAAGTGAACGCGCTTTGCCTCGATTCGCCATCACAACTTTCACCTCGTCTGCTTTCCAGCCAACGTACGAATTGCCTCTGCTTGTGGTCTGCAAACGTCTCGCTGGTAACATCCAGTTCTGAAAGCAGAAAGGCGCGGGTGGCCGCACCTGTGTATAACAACAGCAGAAACTCCATGTGAGAACATCCCCCCGGCCCCTCCTTACAGATGGCAGAAATACTCCAGCAAATCCACAGCCTTAAAATCTGCAGAAGATGGAATGGCTTTGTAGTTTCCATTTCCTAGAGAGAGGAAAACGAACGCTGTATGAACAGACATCTCAAAGGGGTGTACCAAAGGCAGAGCCCTGCAGATGTCACAGCATGCTTTGGGCTTGGGGTCTATTGGCTGGCACTGAGCAGGGGTTCTGCAGCCCAGGAGCTGGGCTGATATTCCTCTGTTGCCCCACACGAGGATCAGCTGCATCAAAAGCACTCCTTTGCCTTGTGGTTTGCTCCGACACTTCCCCAGACAGATCACTTCAGCTTTGTAAATGTAACCGGTTTGGCAAATGCACAGCCAAGGATTTCATTGCCATTCATGGGATGGCAATAAAAACAGACATCAGAGGAGGTGGGTGAGAGCATGGGAGGGGGAATTCTTTTTCCCTGGGCTTTGGAAATGCCCCAGAGGCAGAGAAGTTTGGAGATTTCTGCTTCCCAAGGAGAAAGATGCTGTGATGTAGCCACACAAGTTTTACTCTGCAGCAGCAGAGCAAGGGCCCTCAGCAGGGATGGAATTAAAGCAGTGCCTAGAAAAGGTCTTTATTCTCTTCTGGAGGGTGAAGGCGGTGGGTCGACTTCACAGCACTGCTGTAACAACAGGCATCCCAGAGATTGAGCCCACGAGGTACTTCATGCGAGAAAACCCCTCAAGGAAAAACACCCTCTTTAAACAGCATTGGTCAAACTCTGCTCCCATTTACACCAGTGGAGATCCTGAGTCATTTCGTGGAGCAGAGGAGAGGACCCCAGTGGGACTGCCTGGAATTTGTCTAACATCAACACAGTCCCTTTTCCAGCCCTGTCATAGGTGGAAGTTTCATAAGGAGCCATGAGATCCTTGCAGGCTTTTAGTCACACTCCAAACCCTTTAGGATCTCAACAAGCATTCCTGGGATGCTGTTCTCTTCTCAGCAATCCCCTGGACACATTCAGCTCTCTCAATCCCATAATTGTCTCAGCTTCTGAGTGAGCGAAAGCTTGGTGTTTATCATTCCTCTCCCCAAACAATTCACTATCTCTGGAGCTGTGCTCTCCAATTTACTTTTTTTTGGCCCCATTTTGCTTCCCTCTTCTTCCTTTGCTGGATCATAGAGCAGAGCAGGGCCCTCGCAGAGGAAGATGAGTCAGGACAGATGCATGGGGAGACAACGAGCTCCCAGCTTGAGGCCAGGCTCACCGCCTGCGTCACCGATATTAAAAATAGATGGATGCAGCTTTCTCTACATTGAGGAGCAGCAAAGATGTTCTATCTGGGGCTGCTGAACAAATCTCCTTCTACCTGCCTGCAAGCCACCCAGCAGCACCCTCTGCTCTGACAAATTCTCTTTCCTCGGCTCTGACTGGTGAGATTTAATTTGCCTTTGATATAGTACAGTTTTAATGCTGCAGGCTCGGACAAGGGGGATGACTCACCTTGGCTTCTCCCTTCTGCTCCACTTAGCTCCCAGCCTGCTGCCTGCTGAGGATCCCTTCTGCCAATGACCAGCCCAATGCTGATCAACACCATTCATCCCAAAAATGTGGATTTGCCCAGTGGCACGGGGCAGGAGCTGCCAAGCCCAGCAGGACCAGCAGTGCTCCATGGGGACACAACTCCAGCACCAAGCCGATGCCTCTCTCCCAGGCCAGCATCTCCTTCCTCCTCCCTGTGCACCCTGTCCCCACAGGGTGGTGCTATATTCCACCCACTTTTCTATTACCCACTTCTTCCTATTAAATTAGAATAATCAACATTGCCATCCCCTGCTGTTCCTTGTGCTGGCTGCCAGCCAGGAGCCATGGGATGGGAGCTAAATAAAGCACTGCGAGAGGCAGAAGTCAATGCTGCATTTCCCAAGTATGAAACTTTATTTCAGGAATTGTTCCCACTCCTCTGCTCCCTTCACTGCTCAAATCTGTCTGGTCCATGTGCTGATCAGGTGTGCCCATCTGCTCCCCTCTGCTGTGCACCACCTCAGGCACTACCACAACCAGGCTGCTCTGCAGCTTCTCTCAGTGTACCAAAATGCTGTAAAGACACGTAAAATAATTCCCCTTACAAACTGGAAAGTTTTCAAAGGCCTAGTTACTTCTTTAACAGGATGCCAGAAAACTGTACATCTTCTTTTGGTGGCAGTAAGTGGCCAGAAACACATTTCTGAGGAAGAGGATGAGACCTTATGGGTACTGCTCCCTTCCACCTGCCCCTGATGGGGGTCAGAGCTACCAACACTCCCAAGCTGAAGGAGGATGGCGCAAAAGGAGCAAGTGCACAGTGCACAAAGTCTCCATTTCCACCTTCCTCCTCTGAGCCATGAGATGGAAAGGACACAGCCCGAGGTGGGCTCAGCCACAGCTCCCATAGGCAGAGGGCACTGGTTGTACAGGAGGAGCCCCAAATCGAGAGCGGTGGGGGCAGGTTGGAGCTCACAGCAGCTGCACGCAGGGCACCGGGGCTGGAGAGGAAGCAGTGGGGCCAAGGGGATTGAACGGGGATTTTGGGGCCTTCCAGAGAATAGCACAGGCTGTAGGGAACTGGCCATGGGCAGCTTTGCAGCAGAGCTGCTTCTTTAGAAATGCCACCAGAGGAAGGAAAGAACAACCTGGTGGCTATCTGAGCTTGCTATCAGGCTGGGATTTCTTTCATTCAGCAAATATCTGGGGAAAGGCCCTCACAGTGCTTGGAAGTGCCCTCCAGGAGGGACACGGGGCCAGGGGTGCCTCCGGGAGTCCGAGCACCCTGAATACCCAGAGCAGGGATACGGGGGCACCCCGCTCCCAGCCTTGCCCACAGCTCCGGGCATCCCAAAGCAGCACAGGGCTACAGCGCGATGCCGCTTTGCGTCACCCCCATCCCTCTGTGGGGTGGAAGCGTAGTTCTGGGTGCGCCAGCAGCGATGCGGGACCGGACTGGGAGATGCTGAAGGACCGCGCCGGGGGTACCAGGACCGGGGATGCCCGGGGCAGGGAAGGACCACACCGCGGGTGCCGGCAGCCGAGCGGGAACCGGACGGGCCGGGGGCGCTGGGAGAGGCGGCGGCTCCCGCCCCGCGCGTCCGTGCCCGGGGCCGCCCCCACGTGCCGCCCGCCCCGCCCCGCCCCAATCCCGCCCCGGTGCCGCCGGCGGAGGCAGCGCGGATCGGCCCAGCATGGAGGGGACGCGGCGCGCCCTGCTCCGCCTCGCCGCCGCCTGCTGCCTGCTCTGCGCCCTGCCAGGTACCGCGATGAGCCGGGAGGGGTGGGGGATCCCGCCGCTCTCGCGGCACCGGAGCTGCAGCAGCCCTTTAACCGGGGATGGGAACCGCGGGCCCCGAAAGTTGGGCAGAGCACCGCGCGCTGCGGGGATGCTGCGGGACAAAGCGGCGGGACAAAGCGGCAGCCCCGCGTCCCGGCGGCCGCTCCCGGGCCGGAGCTCCGCGGCTCCACGTGGGCCCGTGCCGGCGGCCACGCGGTGGGAGCGCGCCCCGAGCCGGGGGTGGGGGGGCACCGCCGGCCGTCCCAGTAAGCGGGGCAGCGACAAAGCGTGGGGCTCGGCGGGAAGCGGGCGTGCTCCTCTTCTCGGCTGCCGGGAAAACAAGAAACGGAATAAAACAAAAAGCTCCCAGCCAGCCCCCCTGGGGGACGGGGGAGGGGGTCACAGCACGGCGAGGGCAGCGCTGGGGGCGAAGGCGTGAACCCAACTTTGTCCCTGGTAACCACCCGCGGGGCTGTGGCTCTGAGCCCCGGGTGCCGTTTAGCGCGGGGCTAGGGCTGAGCGCGGGGAAGTGGCCCCAGACCCACCTGTTATGTGGGGAAGGCACATAACAGAAGGTTCCCGGCTGCCGACAATGCGGCTGCAGTGCGTGGCTGCGGGGTTCCCAGCAGCTGAGAGCCGTTCGGTCCCACGCTCACCCTATCTCACGGCTCCGAGCGCGTCGGGGTACCCAGGGAGCTGCCTTCAAGGGGGCTCCTGAGAACCCCTGGCTGCCGTGTCCCAGACGCAGGGATGTGGCCGAACTTACTTTGTGCTCGACTCCTCCTGTGTTGCCTCGTGCTCAGTGCCCCACTCCCGGCATCCCTTTGTGGCCCCAGGAAATGGCACCCATACACTTTGGCTCTCGCAGCTCTTGGATCCACTACCTCACCCCAGACCCAGTTGAGAGAGAAAAGATTTTGTGAAATAGGCGGCACGGGAGAGTTGCCACCAATAAAGAAAAGCCACATGGCGAGCTCAGCTCTTAATGAGACACCAGAGAACCCCACGAGCACAGTGGAGGTGGAAGGGGTCACCCAGCACCTGGCCCCAAAGCCAAACCTGCCTGGAACTGGGCTCATCCCAGCACCACAGATGTGTCTCTGCCCTGTGCCTGGTGCTGGCCCTCTCTATGTTTGCTGCGGGGCCAAACGCCGCTGCATCCCCCGCACTCTGCCTGCCCCAGCTCTCAATGCAGCCTTTCTTCACTGCCTACGGAAATCCATTTCCTCCAGCACCATCAGCCTTAAAAATAAAATCCCAGGGTAATCTTGGGCTGGGCACCACATTACCTCCCCTCTCCTACCCCTTGTACTGAGCAAGCAGAGACAGCTCAGGGTAGGGAGCAACACCAGCATATGAATCCCATCTGCATGCTCACAGATATAACAAGGGGTTTACCACTTTTTACTAGAGGGAGGGAGGTAGGCAGCCCCAGCCTGGCTGGCTCCAGCTCCTAGCACTGAGCCACAGCTTGGTCCTCAACTTGGGGTGATACCCCCCCACCACCAGGACATTGACAGTACAGGGCTGCAGCACTTGCCTCCTCTGGCCATGTTCCTCCATGCCATGGGGAGAGAGACAGGCACAAAGAACAGACACAGTTGGTATCCCATGGCCAGGAAGGTCCCTGGGGCAGGGCAGGATTCCTGGTGTCCAGGCTCCCACAGCTCACACCACACTGCCTGGGTTCCCTGCTGACATGGGGCTGCTCTTAAGGCAACTGGCTAATTAATTTTCTCCTAATGACATGAGTGCTTCCTCCCCTGCAGCTGTGGCTCCTGTGGTATTCATGGCTGGGGCTGGCTGATGCCAGATCTCCTACTGCTGTGGTAGTTACTGGGGTTACACACAGACCAGGACGAGGCACTGAGAATCATGTGTGCCCTCAAATCTCCAGGCAGTCTCTGGGCAGAGGTGTTCTTCATCACAGCTCAGTCCTCAACCAAGGCACAAAATGAACAGCATGGGAGCATGGGCACCTCCCTGCCAGGCAGGCTGCTGTGCATCTGCATGCAACCTGTGAAAAAACTGCCTGGGGAGGTGGTGGTGGCCATGCAGATGGCCTGGGCTGCCCTGTCTGGGGAACCTGGGGTAAGCCTCCCTCTCTGAATGGGGAAGCAGAGGAGGAGCTCCATGCAGACCTGTAGCACAGTTTCATGCATTTCTCCCTATCCTGGCATGGTGCGTGCACTCCCAGGCTGCTGGGTCCTGCAGATGGGTGCTACCCCACATCCCCAACACCTCCCAGCACCGCCACCCACCCCAGGTGTGTCTGTGCTGTTCTTTGGCTTCTCTTGGCATGAAGAGCCCATGCTTAGCATTCACAGCACTGTTTCCAGGGCTGCTCCTTTCTGCTCACAGCACTCTCTGCCACCCATCGCAAACACAGCACTACCAAACAAGATGGTGGCACTGACATTTTCCTGCCCCCCCCCGTTTTGCTTCCCAGGGGCTCACACCTGAGGCCCGGCATCTGCACCACCCTGGGGAGGTGTCCTGCTGCCTGCCCAGGCAGGTTGGGTGCTGGGCTGTCCTTTGCCAGCACTGCACTCGCTCAGCACCCTATATCTAATCAGAGCCTCATCCCGTGCTCAGCTCGAGGCCTTCTGCCCCGTTGTGCTGGAAGGAGCTCCTGGGTCAGGAGACCTTTCTATTCCTGTATCTTAGCACAGCTCTTTGCAGTGTGCCTGGCCTGGCTGGTTGCCAGAGCCGTGCTGGGCACTTGACACCTATGCTTCAGCTCCCCTGGTTCACTGCTCATACCTGGACCCATGGCAGCAGACAGAGCCTGTTCAGCCCCCCTCTGCCAGGATGGGCATGGGGACAATCCTGGCATCAGCCCTGGTAGGGAAAATGGTGCAGCCTGCCGCAAACACAACCTTGTGGCATCCCACCTCCATTGAGGTCCCACAAGGTATCGAGCTGGGACCAGGATCCTAGAGAAGTTGGGAGTTTGCTTTATGGTGTCCCTGTCGCCCTACCTGAAACCTCTGCTGCTCAGGGTCTGTAATTCTGGGCTCTAAGTTACAGTGTAAAGGTCAGGGCTGGCTGCTGTCTGATCAGCAGCTATTCCAGCTCTGCTTCTCAATGAAATGGAGAGCCTTGGATTTAAATCCTACTGTCTGGCTTTGTTTGCATTTATATTTCAGCTCTCTTTCCTTGAAGAGGTTTTTTTAATTACCCTTGGTTGGTAACCATCAAAATATAATAACTGGCAACAAAAGATAATTTCTATACCTAATGGGGTACTTTGCTAAGGAAGAGGATGTAATTGCTGAGATGCAAGGTTACTTTTTAATCATTGCATTAATTTTGCATTTTGCTATATTGTTTGTGAGTTGTTACACTTCAGTGGGAACTGAATTCAGTTAGTGCACAAAAATAGCACTTGGGGAGGTGCAGCTGGATGTGCTCTCTGCAGGCAGCTAGTTGCAGGGAGTGCAGGCGGTGATGTCCCGTGTGAGAGCCATTGCAGGCACCAGGAATCCCTGATCCTACAGCACCTTGCAAAACTGTGGGTGGATCCTTTCCCTTCTTTGTGCTCAGATCTTCTGGGGGGCCCTGTGAGCCTCTTGCAGCAGTGGCTGCAGGCTGCACTCCACACTCTGCTCTCCTCCAGCCCTTAGCAAGGCTGCCACTGCTTTTCCTACTGCATGTGGCTCTAGTACCTCTCACCCCAGGCTCACTACAAAAGGGATTTTGGAAACGGTGGTGAATTGGGGTCAGATTTGTCTCAGCTCCTGGGGAGCCACTGTTTACGGCTGAGATATGAAGGAGGGTGCAGAGGACACTGCACATCCACATACAGACCTTCTGTAGCCCCTCGCTTGGCCCCAGCCCTGCAGCCTGGGCAGGGAGAACACAGCAGGAACAGCCCTGTCTCCTGCAGAGCTGGCTTCCTTCACTCTGGCATATTTATACCACGTCTGCTCCAGAGCCAGTGGGAGCACGGGCTGATGTGTGGGGGTCCATCAGCAATGCCTGGAGCCTCCCCTTCCCCACAAGTGGGAGCATATCCCACTCTTATCCAACGCAGGAGCTTCTCAGACAGCTGCATCCCTCCTTCCCAAAGGCTGCTCACTTCCTTTCCCCTCTGTTTCCCAGACAGAGGTCACTGCAGTCAGAGATGTCTGCTGGGAGCCGCACACCCTCCTGCCCTGCCCCTGCATGCTCTGAGATTGTTGCTTCCCAGCAAGCTGGCAGCTGGCCTGACTCCTTCACTCGCACCATGGCCGTCGTTGCTTTGTTATGATCCGAGGGTGACCACTGCTGTGCCTTGGATCTTCTCTGAGTCCTCCCCTTCCTTTCCTACCTGAGGCAGAGGGGCCTGATTCCCTCCTGTCTGCAGGAGATGGAGAGGACGATGCCTCAGGCAGTCCAGGCACAGCCTCCCTGGCACCTGGTGCAGGAAGCAGAGCTGCTCCAGGAGGATGCCAGAGTGACGAGCTCTGACCTGCACCTCTGCAAGTAGCTGATAAATAGCTGAAGTCATCATTGCTCAGCGATGGAGCAGCAGCATCTGGGCTGGAGGGTGTGATTTTCAGAGCTGTTGGGTACCAAAGAAGCAGGGCTGGCCTCTGCCCCACTGCTCTGTAGGACTTGCACCAAGCTGGGTGGGTGCAGGCTGCAGCTGGTGCCCACTGTCACGACAAAACAGTGGGAATCAAAGCAGCAGCAGAACACATCTTAATGCAAACCATGGAGGGGCGTTTTTATTTTAAAGCTGAAGGAAAACCCTTCGGTGCTTGTGCTCTTTAGCATCCAGAGCTGACACTAGAGTGCCTAAGGGTTCTTCCCTGGTGCTCCACAGGGCTGGGCTGGTGGCTTTGGATGTGCCCTCACTCCTGGGAGGTGGCACGCAGTGATGGTGATCTTTTGTCTGTCTGCCCCAGAGCAGTTGGCGTTTACTCACTGTCCTTCATCTCTTTGTCCATCCTATGTATTTTGCCTCTTTCTCCATATTCTCACCATTACCTCCTAATGGCTGGAGGTTTTGTGTGAGCTTGGTTTGGGCTCTCCCTCATTCCCAGCTCTCCTTTGTTCCCTGAGCTGGGGTGCTGGGCTCAGTGACACGCTAATCAGGTGCCATCTACTGCGGTGCTCAAAGGCCCCTTGCTGGATTCCTGTGCCCAACGTGTCCCATACTTGCCATACTTTAACATCTCTACCAGTGTTAGTGGAGTGAGGGGAGCTGCTTCCCCCCACAAACCTCCCTGCCCAACAGCACCTCCTGGCAAGGATGCTAGCTCCTCTGCAGGGCTTACTCTGTTTCCCTCTGATTTTCCCTTCCTAGCCAAAAAAAGTAGCACAAGCATTTCAGTGCTGCTCAGCCCTTCGTGCCACACAGCTTCCCCCAAATCTTCTCCCTGCATTACCCCAGTTACAGCTTACCAGCCCATGGGAGGCAGCCCCAGCACAGGCCAGCTATTCAGAGCAGCACATCAGCAGGCTTGCTGCTGGCCGGGCACCTGGCCACCGCCTTTCCTGTTTATCCTGCAACAACAGCGCGGCTCTGTGTGCGTTGCTGCATAGGGGCAGGTAGCAGCGTATTTATGGAGCGCCCACCTCTGCCTAGCTCAGATCCTTCGGCACTGCCCAGCATGGGCTCTGGAGCTGTGGGGTTGGCAGCACACTGCATAGCACATCCTGGCCACAGCCAGCCAGGTCCCGGACATATTGAAGGAAGAAGTGCTTAAGCTTTTGGTCTTTAAGTTGCCCTGGGCTCCTCTGGAGAGCTCACTCTGAATGTGCCATGAGGCGCTGAGCTGCTTGTGCTCTTGTGGGACTGGGGCCCTGGGATAGGGAATCATGCCTCTGTCACTCAGCTCCGGGGTTTGGAATCCTGCAGCTGGTTGGAGTATTGCGAAGGGCTCTGGAGAGAGATGTACTGTGTCTTTTTTTAGGCCTTGGTAAGTGCTGGATCTGGAGAAGAGCTATGATAAGTGTGTCCATTCCAAAAACTGCTGAGTTTTTCATCAAAGCCTTTGTACCAGAGTGGGCTGCATTGCCGACGGGTGAATGTTTCTTGGCTAAGGCACCCACCTCGGGTGCTTCTCCACTATGGACAGAGTGGGCACAAATATTGATTTTCTTCAGTACTTTTATTTTCTTCTGTGGTTAGCTGTCATGTCTCTGTGGCTTAGGTAGAAACTTGGGATACAAATAGCAAAAATATTGACCATGCAATGTTTCCAAATGCTCGTGAGAGTCCAACCTGGTGTGGGAACATTTCTCTGTTTGTTTTTTTTTCTGTTTACACCCTTCAAAAACCCAAACGGGATCCAAGTCTGTCAGTTGGCAGTGTGAGGGCTTTGCAGCTTCCCTCCTGTGTGCTGTCACACTGCTGAGCGCATCCGAGGAGGGGGTCCTGCTCACAGCCCTGCCTCCAGTGGGAGGCAGAGTGGCTCTCCATTCCTCCAGTCACACTCGATGGTGATGATGTGCTCATAAATAGCTCATGAAGGCAGCTGCCTAAGTATACCACCAACTTCTGTACAGCTCTGCTCACATCAGCTACAATTCCTCTGACCTGGGCAGATAGTGATTTAGCTTAGTTGGTAGGAGGAAATTATTTTCTCAGAGGGCGGTGAGGCCCTGGCACAGCTGCCCAGAGAGCTGTGAGTGCCCATCCCTGGAGGTGCTCAAGGCCAGGTTGGATGGGACCTGGGCAGCCTGAGCTGGTGGGGGCACCCAGCCCATGGTAGGGGTTGGGGCTGAGGGGGCTTTAAGGTCCCTTCCAAACCAACCATTCTGTGGTTCTATGATAGAGAAGGAGGAGGGTAAAGACAGGCTCCCCATAGCAGGTCCCTGCCAGGACGGCAAAGAAGTTATTTGAACTTTTCCCCCAGTGTGAACTTGTGCTGAATTTGGAATTAACAGACTGGGTAGATTCAGCTCCTGGCCTGTCCTTCTGTTTCATCTCCCATTGTGGGATTTCTGAAACATTTCTCAGCACTTCATAACTCTCTTCTGCAGGTGAGGGACAGAAGACAACAGAGACTGCGGTGCTGTCACCTCTTCTTAACACCGTGCCAACCTCTCATCAGCTCAGGGAAGCCTCTGACCTCAGTCCAGACACTACTGCTGTTCCAGAGACAAGTTTGGAGATAAACGTGACTGCTGCAGCACTCAATGCCACTGGAGGTCACCCTACAGAGGTGGAGGATGTCTTCATTTCTGCCACCCCTGTGGTTGGCACCAAGACAGAGACACTGCAGGCTTCCACTGCTGCCAGCCCCACAGGCATCACAGTCATACAACATGAGCACCATAATACGAGCTTGTCAGCTAACAGCACTGAAATCCCCTCCTCTGCCTCAACAGTGAGTACTCTGGAAAAAAACCCGCCTGACCACGAAGTCACAGAGCCCTTCAGTGCAACCAAAGAAATGGACGATGCCAGCAGTGCCACGCCAACACCTCCTCTGAACAGCGTGCCTGGTGAGGTTCTGCCTTTCATGACTGCACAACCTGGGATCTTCGGGTGCTGAATGGCTCTGCTTGCATAAACTCCTCTGGGAACTGGAGATGGGGGGAAGTAGAAATATCCCGTTCACTGGGACTGAGCTATAGAGGTGCTCTTAGTTCAGCATCCTCCCTGCAAATCCCATTAGTCGTGGCATTAATTCTGTTGCCTGCTTGCTTAGACGTTGACTGTTTGCAGTGAAGGCCACATGTGAAAAATAAGTAGGCTTTTTAGCACCATGCCTTACAGTGTGGCTCAGCTGTGCCTGTGCTATAGGACTCTCTTGCTAGCCAAAGTGTTGTCAGTAAGCTGCTTTTCTTATAGTCCCCCGAAGTCTTCTTTACAACCTTACTTCCATCTTGTCCAGTCCTACAGCACAATGCACTTGTACTTCATCCTTTGAAATAATTGTTTGTCCCTATTCTGCAGCAACAACTAACAGATCTCAGCTGGAGCCGACTGACGGGCAGACCACTGGGCCCACAGCAGCAAGAGCTGAAACCAGGCCAGGAACGAGCCCTGCAGTGGCCACAGAGGTGGAGCCCTCTGCTCCCATTTCCACTGTAGGGAGCACATCCCCTGCCAGCACCTCCAGTACTGTTATGATGAGACTCCCTGTGACCAGCTCTCCTGCTGCCAGCACAGCCGCCATCCCCACCAGCACATCTGCAGTGGGGCAGCAATTGGAGCCCATGCATGAGAAAGCTTCTGTGTTGGATGTTGGTGATGATGAAAATCCAGGTGAATGCTCTGCACTTGCCCCTGCTCTCACAAAACATGGCAAAGGGTTGGGGGTACCTCAAATTTCCTCTCAGCTGTATGAGCAGAACAACTGTGAAGACTCTCATTTGGCTCCATTCTCTTGCAGAGCTCCCAAGTTCTCCTGCAGTGAGGGCTGACCCCTTGGTAATCGCAGTGATCTCTGTCTTCATTATCATGGTGGGCATCCTGGGCTTGGTGGGCTTCCTGAGATACCGCCAGCACAACAGCAGCATGGAGTTCCGACGCCTGCAGGACCTGCCCATGGTGAGCAATGCCTCAGCACTGCCTTGCACCTGGCTTTCAGCTGCTTGGCAATTCTCTTGCTACTGAATTAGCCATGTTTGGGGTATTTGTAGAAGAAAGGATGCCAATCATAAATCCTGCTCCCTGTTAGGTCTCTCTCCATCCATTCAAGGTTTGTGTTGAAGATGGCAAGTCTCATGGACAGCCACTAAAGCTCTCTGCTTTTCCCTCATACTGCAAGGGACACTAAGAGGTTAAAGAGAGAGAGAGGGGAGTGCCATCCAAATTTTCCCTGAAACACCACCTTGCTAATCTATTCTCCTGGATTCCAATGTATTTGCTTTGTGACTGACAAAGCAAATTTTATGCTCTGTTCTAGGGGAGGTTGTCTGTCTGTCTGTCTGTCTATCTGTCTGTGTTTGACCCTTTGGTGATATAAAAAGATATGAAGGGCTCAGAGGTGGGGAGGCAGCAACCTGCAGAGGTGCACTGATGCCCTCCTGCAGCTCACTGCAAGCACGTGGATGTTGTCACAATCTGAGTGGTGTTCTCCACAGCCATGCACACAACTCTTCTCTCCAAAACACACAGCAGGACAGGAGAGTGAGTGTCCAAAGATCCACTGCAAAAGGGTGATGTTGATGGTTGGGCAAATGGCCACACTGTGACAGTGGGGATGGTGAGGCTGGGGCTGTACACTATGCAGGCATCCCACTAAAACACACTCTTCTCTGCTTCTAGGATGACATGATGGAGGATACCCCCCTCTCACTCTACAGCTACTAGGCAGCCAGGCTGCCTCTGCTTGGTGGGCTGAACTTCCCAGAAGGAGAAAGCCTTTGAGGCCTTGGTCCCAGACAATCTGCTGACAAATGAGGGGGCTCTGTCTTGCACACAACTGAAAGATTGTTTTCAGATGGCTTTTGGTTTTTAGATATTTTAAATAGTTCAGTTTTGAAATTTTTATGCTGGAAATCAGAGCCCAGGTCTGGCTTATTTCTCTGGGCTCTCCTAGAAAAGATATCCCAAAGAGGTGCCTCCTCCTTTTAGCATGGTGACCAGTTAGCAAATTATTTAACCATTGTGTTCTGCATGGAGCTCTTCTGTCCATCTTGACAGCTGCTGCTTTCAGAGGGGATGGACGAGTGAGCCATGCAACAACTGTTACACTGGTGGAGTCAGCACAGGAGACTGCTGTTTTCTGAGGGAGCCGAGGATGGGAGATCCATTCTCTTATGCTCCCTCTTGTTCTGTGTTGTTGTTGTTGTTTGTTTGTTTGTTTTTTAAGTTTTGGTTTTTTTTCCTTGCACTTTTTTGTTGTCATTGTTTTTGTTTCAGCTTTAGTCCTGGGCTTGGCACTGCCTATCCTGAAACACCTACTGGGATGATGTCTGACTGCCCTGCTTCCTTCCTACATGCACACCTTTCCTCATTAAGGGAAAACAGTTATGTGGCTACTCAAGAAGTACTGCTTAGAAATTGCTGGAAGGACACCAGCATGATTTTAGCTCAACAGGGCTTGTCAGAACTCACTCAATTGCTATCCAGACTCACCACAATTAGGAAACTGGGTCTGCCATACTTGCTTCTTTCAGTGTAAGCTATTGCCCAGGCTTTAAAAATGCTTTAGTCTACATTTATGTCTGGATTGACACATCTTTCTCCAGATACATCCCATTTTGCTGCTGGGATCTGGTTTCTGAAAGCTGTTATACAAAACTAGTACTGCACTGTCCCTCCTCTCAGCACAAGGTCAAAGCTCCTTTATAACGTTGGTCTTTGAGCCAGTTAGTGTCCTGTCCTGAGGACAGAACCTGGTTGTAGTGCCTTCCTCCCTTCCCTTTCTAGGTGTTAGGTTGATTAGATTCTGCACTTTTGCCTCAAAATATCACTGGTGTAAACTGCAAGGCTTTAAGGTCCTGCAAGGAAACCCACAGACGAGATCCTCTAAGCACAAGTCTCAGGATTTTCAGGTGCCCTTGCTTCAGACAGACTGGTTAGTGCATGGCATGGAAGTCTTAATGTCATGAATACTGGCTCCCATTTTCTAATTCACATTTGATTGCGGGTAAAGAGAAGCATGTGCATTCTCAAAAGCATTGGATTTCTGATTAAGCTGATCGTGCAGGACACAGCAAGGGCTAAAAGTTACATACAGTTATCTCCCACACTGCTCTTAGAAGCCTCTGTTTTTCCTCCTTCAGTAGCAATGCTCACAGAGCCCACAGACAATGGATAACAAGACTCACTACCAAAAGTATCTATTTTTTTTTCCAGCGCTGTTACTATTCTTTTTAGCAGGGAAAGGGGAAATTCCCCTTCAAATGATTTACAAAGCCCAAAGATGGAGCAGAAGTGGTCAAATGGATGAACCAAGTAAGGCAGCAGTTCCTTCTTCCGAAGGGCTGACAAGTGGCTGCCGTGCAGTTCGGGTTCAGCTGTTGGCTTTGGCCTTGTGTATGTTTATTGTAAGGGTGCCCAATACAACGGGGAAGGACGGTTGGTTCTCTCCTCCTATTATTGCATGAAAACTGAAGGGCAATTGTCACAACTCCAAAGCTTTTGTATCAAGCATTGTCTGCACAGAGCAATCTCCTTAGCTACAGGCTTGTTCCCCCGCCGCAGGGCAGGGTGCTACTGGATTTCTGGCACAAAGAGAGGCAAGTTCGTGGTGGAAAATAAGACTCCATCCTGGCTGGAACTGGTGTAGGCTGGCAGAGCTTGAAAACCATCTCTGCACCAAACAGAAAGGGCAGGGGCTTGCTGTTCTGGGTTCCCATTTGCTGTCCAGGGGAAAGGGGTGAGGGAGGAAACCTGCCCGACACCAAAGTGCAACTGTCTTTGTAAGATATGTTAATAGTGGATTTTTTTTTCGCAATAAAGTTACAAATACCAAAGGTGTGCCCCACATCCTCATATTTTGCTATGGTTGAATTAGATGAGATCTGTCTTAGAGAGCCACGTTAATCTAATGTACCTTCAGACTCTCCTTTGTTTCCAATTGAAGCTGTCCTTATTGCCATCTATTGTCAACTGAACCCTTTATTTACTCTGAGAAATGTCCTCAGAGCCAGTCTAATCCAAGCCTAAGTAGCATTAGCACTGGTTGGACTAGATGATGTTAGTGGTCTTTCCAACCTTACCAACCTTAACAATTCTATGATCTGCCTTGCTTCTTTCTATATTATAAACTGAAAAGCAAATTGAAATGAACACACTTGTTTAGATTTACAGCTGAGGTGAGCCTGCCAGGTTTGGAGATGGACCACAGACCAGTTGCATGGGCTTCTTCTCTCTGCCCTTCCTCTCCTTCCCTCCCCTGGCTCATGGTTTGAAGGGTGGATAACAGTCCTGTTCTTACCACCCCTTAGAGCAGAGGGCAAGAAGTGTTGCACTGACTTGGAGCAAGAGTGCAGCAGCAAGGCAGGGAGGCACAGCAGTACATTGCAGTACTGAAGGCTATGAAATGATGCACAACCTGGGAAGCTTTCAGCCCATGGCCAAGCAACATTCTCCTTGTATTTGAGGGAGAACAGAAAATACCTACTGTCATTTTCCAAATACCGAGGAAGGCCGCATGCCTCCACGCTATTTATACTCAATTATCTATAACTAAATTCAGTAAAAATGCAGATTTCTCATGGGGGAAGAGAGATGAGTTTTAATAAGTGTGCCTCCTGAACCTCTGCCAGAGATGTTCCCATCCAACTGCTGCTCTGCTTTGCTGCAGAATGATATCTTCAGTCCTCCCTTCCACTCCCCACAAAGCCAAAAGAAATCATATGGTTTCTGATCATGAAACAGCCAAATATGTGGTCCTGCTCATTTGTCACCAAGCAGTAAGCAAAGCTGGAAGACCATGACCACTAACATAAGAGCTCCTGTCAATATTAAGCTTCCTAAACTGTGGGTTTTTTTGCTTTATTGGTAATTCTCCAGAACTCTGCAAGATAATCAAAGTCTTCAAACTTCCCCATACAACCATATTTGAATGGTTATACTTCTATGCACAAATGCTGTTTCCTCACAGATCTGAGGAAACCAACCCTTCCCCAGAGCACAACTTGAGGACAGTGTCAGAATGCAGAGCACCATCACCAGCCAGAATAGGACATTTCCACTGCGGCTGGGGATTGCAAACTACATCCTCTGCCACAACAGATCTTCTAACATTAATAAGCTTTTGTAAGCAATCATTAACTATTAACACAAAGGAAACATAGGATGCCAGACGGTGTCAAACTTGATACGTGCGTTTTGAAGACAAAGTGATCAATGCACTGATCTGCATGGCAGCCTGCACAGCCTTCTGCGTGCTTATTCCCACTTCCTGCCTAATAAATACACTTGAAAGACGTCCTTAGCCCAGGTCTGCTCCTCATGCACCAGCAGTTCAACAATGGTTAGCCTCAGTTCCTCTGCAATAATTTTTCTTTTGAAAGACCCATCAGCCAAATAACTCCCTGAACCACAAAACCAGCATGATCTCGATCAGACGAGCGGTGGTCACAGCTGCAAGAAAATAAGCGTGTTTCTGTTCCTACTGTTCAGTTCCCTCTCTGTTTACAGGTGGGCCCAATCCCCCACCCACAGTTCAAATAAAGAAAGAGCAGAGTAAGTTACCACAGGTATCCTCCCAACCATAAAACAGGTCTCCCTGTGATGAACTGCCCAGAATTAATACATCCCTGCAGCAGAAGCCTTTTGCTAAGGCTCTTTGAACTATAATGGAACATCTGTTGACAATCTCCCGCAGGGGAACTTCTCCCCTCCCGTCTTAATCCTCTCTCCTTCAGAAGTGCTTCTGCTCTGAAATTAGACACACCAGTTGCCACAGATTGACATAGAAAGGCATGGAAAGGTTTTCTTCACATTGGTCTTTCCTGGGAGCTGCAAGAAGGATGAGCAGTCACAGCCCTCTTTGGGATACTCCTACAAACTGCTGTTGTGTCTGAATTGCAGAATTATAGGTTCTGCTTGGAACAAGGCAAGGCTCATGGTTTGTGGAGCATGCCTTTCAGCTGGGCTTGGGGATTCATTTGATTCTGACTCAGAAGAGTTTTACCAGATACAACTGCGAATGCTGGCTGTACCTTCTGGTCTTACGTGGGGACACGGGGAACAAGCCACTGGCCTCATTTCTTCCATTTCCTCATTGATAACCTTGGGGAATGGAAACTAATTTTCACTTTTTTTTTTTAAAGGATCTCAAAGCTTTCATGCAGAAGGCAGTTGGGCACAAGGCTGTTTGTGGCTGGCTAGCAGAAAGGAAACCTGTTTCCTTTTTAACAAGGGGCTGAGAGGCACTGGCACAATGGCTCACTTTGTTCTGCTGCCCTACTTGGTGCCCACAGCGAGTGACAGAACTGTGTCCTGATGTTCCAGCCACCCAAGCTGCCCCTGATATCCTCACCACGACCTGCTAACAGCTCCTCACATACTCGGGTCCACTGTAAGAAGCAGAGTTGAACTCTGGGAAGCAGCTGTTCCCTGGTGAGAGAAAACTAACTGATCTCAGATTGAGCTTCAAAGCAAAAGCCACTGTTGGTGTAACTGAGTGAGATGTAGGCCACAGAAGCAGCTGCTGCCTCTGCACCCAGTCTTGTCTGTGCTCTGGCTCCCACCCAATATCTGCTGCTCTCAGATTAGCAGCACCAACCTCTGCTTTTCTAACCAGTTTTTAACTAAGCTCTGCTGTGCCCACTTCACTTTCCTCAATCTGTGCCACATTCCCATGCCTTTCATACTGACTAAGAAGTTGGCATCAAAGGGAACGCCACAGATTTGATCCTGCACAGATCCCATGTGCAGGAGACAACCTTCCCCACTGAACAGGCAGCTCTCTCCATCCTCTATATTAAATAAGGCTTTTTCCGATTAATATTAAAGGCCACACAGATGTAGTTCAGGCAAAGCAGGTCACTGCTGAGGTCATTTGCTCCAGTATATTTCTGGCCTCTTTTCCTGCACCGCTCTCCTCCAGCTCAGGACACAGTATGGAGATATCTTTACAATCTACAGCACCAGAACAAGGAATGGGCCTTCCTCAGACTCCTTATCCCATGTGCCCTAAGAACAAATGACAGCCTGTCCAACACTGCTGACTCGGTGTGAACTGCAACCCCTGTCAAATTCTAATACAAAAACATCCTCATTCATCTTCTACTGAAACAAAGAAATACCAAATATCATCCCCAAATACTATGCAAGTTCAAATTGAAATAGATGTCCATGTATCAACACAGCTACAGGGTGTTCCTACTGTAATACTGGTCAGGGTTTCTACTGATACATTGTCAGATAAGCAGTTTTTTCTTATTAAATGAAGGATAGTGCTTCAGCATCTGACTGGCAAAGTCCATACAGGAGTCCATACCTGGCATGTGCCTCAGAATAAATGCTAAAAGGAAAAAATCTAACCCCTTGATATGACATGGAAGCTCCTTAGGTGCTGTCCTCACAACAATCCGACATCTAGAGATGTCAGATTACAGTTGCAGCTACAAAGCAGTTAATTGTTGCTGGTTTGCTAGTGAAGTCTGAGTCAGCAGGATTAGTAAAACGGGAAAACAGAACACAAGGCAGTTTAATATGCCTTACAGCCTCCATTCACAAGAATCTTAAGCATCTTACTAAAGTAGGGCATGAATTTTTTCTTTTAAAGGAACATTAGCCCTTTGTTCCCAATTTCCTTTAATGCTGAGCATTAATGAAAACACAAGGAGGTTTTATCTCCTAAAAGCAAGGCAGGAATCCAAAAGGATAAAGAGGCTGAGAGATGAACCTTTATGAAGCAAGCTATTTCCACCTTCCTAATCTCACTGGCTGCATATCAGCACCAAAACAAAGGTGGAGCCACATTAAAGAGTGGTACCTTGGAGCTGCAGGAGGAAGTGATAAGTATCACAATTGGCCCTCACACACAGCTTTACATTACCCTGACACTGGATGGGAGGAGGATGAAAGAAGACACAGGCACACACACGTTACCTCTGTCCTTGGCATAGCTCAGAGCAAAGGTTTAGCTGTGACCTGAATGCTAGTCTGCAACTCCAAACCCTGCTGCCTTCATGCCTTTATGTGCCTAATACTCACCCCCACCAGTAGTACTGGACACAGCAAGTGCCTTTGTCAAAACATCAATATGAACTCTGGAGTGCCCTGAACAGCAGACATAAAAAGTTTCTGTAGACTCTACCATTTGCATTATTGTGACAAACATCTGTAAGTCTTGAGAGTGCAAGCACTTCACTCACCTTCAAGCACTTCAGTCTCTGCAGTGGAAAGCCCACAGGAGCTGAGGTCTTTGAAATTGAATTCTGAGAATTCTCACCCAAAGATGGAGAAAACCACTTCGCTTCTAAGCAAGTTTCTGCTTCTCCCTAAAAAAAAATTAAAAATAAAAATAAAAAAAGAAGGAAGGAAGGAAGAGGCAGGTTAGGTCAGAAGTTCAAGGATTAAGCTGCTGAACCTAAGTCTCCACTGCCCACCTTTTCTGATAGCTCTTAACATATGGAGAAACTGCTGCCATTCTGATTTAATTGCATTTTTTTTTAATTGCACGAGTGCAAGCAACGGCATAAGGCAGCAGATAGCAAATCCCATGATACACAAACCTTGGCAAGAAAAATGTACAGGGACCAGATTTCATCTGTCTTTGACACCAATGGCCCCAACCAACTAAATCATGCAGGAGTAAAAGACAAAGCCCAGGCCAGCTCATTTCTGCTCAAAGCCACAGTCACAATGGCAAACACTTCCAGTGCAGCAGCCAGACCATGTTGGGAAGGAACAACAGGACACCTCACCTGATAAGTTCACTACACCAGAAGGTTAAAATATCACATCCCACATGTTCTGTTTTCAGCAGAAGCAGCAGCTGGCAGCAGAACACCTCCCCTCTCACCTAGCCCTGCTATCTCTATTGTGCCAATCCTGTTATCTCAGTTGTGCCAGCCCTGGGAAACACATTACAACAAAACAAAGCAAAACCAACAATGACACATTTGTTAGAACCAGCTCAGCTCTCTGATGATCAGATTTACAGCACAAACAACAGCAGCACTGGCAGAAGCTCCTGAGGCAGTGTGCCATGAGGCCAGGGCAGGAAAAAGCAGAGGGGTGGGTACATTTCATGCTGATATTGACAGCAAAGATCCATCCCAGGAAATCACAGCATGACAGTGTGACATAACATAAGAAGGCCTTAGGCTCCTCTAGAAAGAAACAGGGAAGAGGTATTTAACCATAGGAAAACTGCAATGAAGTTCCATTATTGCATTAAACATCTCACCAAATTGATCCAATATCCTTTATTGAAGAAAACCTAATAATAAAGCTGCACTGACCTCCACACTCAGTGTACACTAAAGCTTCTCTACTAATAAAGACAGGCAGTAACACGCTTATGGTCATGAGCAAGAAAGATCAGAAGAGCAAACAAGGAAGTAAAATACCCTTTAACTCCATCTCCATCAAACTGTCACCAAACTGCCATGATTTGTGCCCTGTGTTCCTGCCTAATGCAGGGCAACAGCCCCTTCACTGTGTCAGCAAGAGGTTTCAAAAGCTTTGGAAGGAAAGCACAAGGAAAATCCCTTATGCTACAGGCATTTGGCATTGTGGTTTGGTGATATTTATTTAATGTCCTGGAGAATACAGAGAATAAAAGCTCCTTTTGTGTGGACACTACATGACGACACCCAGTCACGCTGTTCCCATGCAACGGCAGCCCAGACTGAGGGAGATGAATGGGTGTGTTGTGGTTTTACTAAAAATAAAATGTATATATATACACCTGTGACATAGATCCCTCAAAATGACATCTTCTGCTCCCCTCTACTCCTCCCCCCCCCCCCCTCCTCGAGTACTGATACTTGTTCTCTGGAGTATGCTCTTTTACCATAACATGAGGCTCTTTTACTATGACATGAGGCTGCATGAGAAAGCAAACTCTGGGGGCAACAACATGCATCTCCATCTCAATCTGTGACCATTCAGACAGCTGATAGCTCTCCCAGGGCAGTTGGGGTCAGGCAGAGAAGGGTACAATTAAACAGGGCCAGAAAGATCTAAAGATCTTCAACAAGGAAGCTCAGACATCACTCTTATCTCCAGGGAGCAGGTCAGGGCCCTGGGGTAGGGCTGGGGGAGCAGGGGCCAAGCTAGGAGAGGTCAGAGGCACAAGCTTAGTTCCCACCAGCAGAGCACGTGGGGAGAGGTAGGATGGTTAGGAGAAGCAGTGAGCCAACTCAGATCCTGTCAGCTCAGCTCTAAGGACAGCCAGGAAGAGAACAGCAAGTTCTCACTCACAGCACCCACACAGAATTACTGAAGGTGCGAATTCCCAGGGTATGTCTATTAGTCTGCCATTCAACCCCCTTGCTGCCAGTCTCAGGGCTGAACGTTTGCCTGCTCCCAGCCAGAAGTCCTGCACAAGACAGGACACACACTCAAGCTGTACCCACTTGGAGCTTTTCCAGTTCAGAATTCAAAAAGAAGACTTCGCCTCACAAGGCCAACGCAGCTACAACCTTCAGCATCAGCAGAAACAGTACCACGCCAGCCACGGAGATTACCTGTACCCCACAGGACAAGTACTCTCCTCAGGCAGGTACAAAGGGCACCGTATGAGAAGCTGGCAAACAAGGGCTGTGAGACGAGAGATCAGACCCCAGCACCTCTGAGCTTGCCAGCGCAGGCCCCATGAGAGCTGGCTGAGGCAGTGGCTGCGCTGCTGGAGCTGGGAGCAGCAAGCAGCCAGCTGTGACACAGTCCTGCAGCTCCCAGGCAGATATTCCCCTTGAAGGCCAGGAGCTGCACAGACTTGGGAATCCCTGAAATCCCCTGGAGACGTATCCGCTATGCCCGATGCGGCTGTGCAAGTACCCTCCTGCAGCTGGAGGCTTCCAGAGCTGTAATGTGCTGCTCAGTGCAAAAGATACAGTCCATCTGTTGGCCTTTCTCTCATTTCAGCCTGTACCCTCAGCTTTCTTCTTTCGCTATTCTTCTCCTATCAAATCTTTTCCAATTCTCCCTTCCGCAAAGATCATCCACTTTCTGCAACAACTCCATTTTGGCTGCAGTAAGACCTGTTATATCAGGATGTTTACATTATTCCTCACTGATACATGTGTTGAGGACACCTAACTGCCCTCTTCACAAAGACCCCCAAAAAGGCTCTGGCTAAGCTATACTCTGCATCTGATTTTCCATCTCTGTTGCCAGGCAAAACCTAACAAAACAAAATCCGCCCACAGCTCTCCCAAAGGCAAGGGATGGATGCAGAGCCTGCAGGCAAGCTGCATGCACACAGTCCTCCCACAGCTCTCCCAGAGCACAGCGTGGAGTCACAGCAGACTTCTGCTTGAGAATTAGTGCAGGAAAGAACACAGCTAGTAAGCAGGAAATACAGGAAAACTTGGAGAAGAAAAAATTAATTCTAAACAAGATAGATGTAACCTTTCAGTCCTCTTCCTCCTACACAGGGCATGGGTACAAGAAACAGCTCCCGGAGTTCTAGACAGCATAAGGGAGTCCCATAAAGGACGTCTGTATATCTGAAGACCGTCCCAGAGATCTGGCTGATCTGAAGCAGAACTCAGGACTAACAGCAGGAAAAGGCTGCACTAGAACTAATGGTGAAGGTTATGGGAAGCTGCTATGGAGATGGCGGTAAGAAGCCCAGGCCTGAGGCTGGGTCTGGTGTGCTGGTACAGAGCCAGGCAGCTGCAGGGGATACATAGATTCAGATAGAAAAAGAGAAAGGGGTAACACAGAGCACCTGCCCACACGGCCATGGGCTTTGTGTACAGTGAAAGAGAAACACCATAATATAAAGCAATATATGTAGGTTGCTCCGAAAGTGATGCCTCCTGTTTATATCCATAGAAAATACAACAGCTCCAAAGAGCACAAGAATGCTATTTGATAAAGTCAATACCCAGCTACAACACACTCTTTTTCCACCACAGTCACCACCAGCAGCTGTGCGCTCCCACCAGAAACGACGCACCACGCCATGCCGTCAGACCGCCCCTCTACTGCCATCTGTTGTACGGCAGCGACACGGAACGGGACACGGGCGGGAAGCTGAGCCTGCGCTGCCGTACCACCGGCATCCGCCTCCAGGTGCGCGCCGGCATCGCTTCTGGAGCAGCCCTCATAGCACGGGTGGGCGCACCGGAGCCCAAAAGCAACAGCCATTGGCGAGGGCTGCAAAGAGGGAAAGCACACAGCTGCACCGCTGCTGAACCCACCTCAGACAGCGGCTACAGCAGCAGCAATGACACGTTGCGCCTTTTGGACCCGAAATGAGACTCCCCGCTCGAGCCATAAGGCGCACGCGGGTTGCAAATGGCGGCGCCCCGACGGGCAGCGCACTACAACTCCCATGGTGCCCCGGGGCGGCCGTCTCCTAGGAGACGCGGCTCCGCCCCTCCCGCCGCCGGCGTGCCGAACTACCCGTCCCGCGGTGCTCCGCGCGCCATGGAGGAGCGCGTGGCGGAGCGGCTTCGCGGCGCCCTGGGCCCGCTCGGCTTTGAGGTGCACGCCTTCAAGGTACTGACGTCACGCCGGCGTGCGGTCGTCGTGACGTCACCCTCGCTGGCGTCGTGCAGGGAAATGCCGCCGTCCCGGGGCGCGGGGTGCTCGGGGAGGTCGGGAGGGAGTCCGGTGCGCGGGGACGTGCGGGCGGCCGTCCCAGGTGAAGGTCAGCCGGCGGCTGCCGCGCTCCTCCCGGCCAACAGCAGGCGGCAGTGCCGGCACCGTGTGGGGATGGGGATGGGGACGGGATGGGGATGGGGATGGGATCGGATGGGGTGGGAGCCCGTGCCCCGCGGAGCGGAGCAGCTCGGGGCCTTCCTGCTGGCCCTGTGCCACCGGGGGAGGGTACGAGAGTGCTTCCAAACCGACGGGGTTAAGGTCCTCCGAGCAGGTTTAAAATTTAATCTCAGTACAGGACCGTACCGCTGTGTAAGTGCCGACTGCTGCGTGGGTTCGTGAATGCAGATCCGTGTGCACAGGAGCTGGTGTTGCCATCTCTGCCTCTTGCACTGCCCGTGTGCTGAGCTCCGTGCTGGGCTTACAGCACTGTATCTCGTCCTACGTGTAACTGTCACACGCTTTGCCCTGGTGCAGTGACTGGTGTAAACTGGGAAATGAGCAAACTTTGGATTCACATCTCTGCGATTCCTTTAGCATCTGAATTCAGCTTCTTGAACAAGAGCCACAAAACTGAGTCAGCATTGAGGCTGATGTAAAAATGCATCCTTATAGTGGCCTGAGTTTGCATTTCATGTTTATGTACGTGCAGGACTGGCTGCTCATGTCACCTCTAACGTCCCTTTCAAATCCACTCCATTGATACGCAGGGGTGAGCAGTGTCCTGCAGCTTAAGGCTTAATACCACAGTCACTGAATGTCGGACCTGCTCTTTGTGGTGTCCCAGGGGAGCAGGCATTGTAACCAAGACACATGGTGTTGTGTGGCAGGCGCTGCTCTGAGCCCTGTCCTGCTCACATCCTCCTGCCACCTCCTCCTGGCCCGACCCCTCACTGTGGGCTGTGCTAAATCCAGCCCTGCCAAGAAATTTCGAGATGCTCTGTGTCACAACGTGTGCACAGCTGGTGTGCTGAGGGATGCCGGCGCTGCTGGGAGCTTCACTGCCTTTCCTTTCACACATAAATGCTTCCTGGTGAAGAAATACGCAGTGCCCCTCCTATACTGGACGCAGCTAATTGCAACTTGTCCCATCTCGCTACAGTTCATTGGCTTTAAGCAGAAAAGGACTTTGGAAGCTTCAGCTCTTGAGCTGATTATAAACTATAGTCCCGTGCTTTATTTCCTATGAGGTCTCCCGCTGTTAAAAGCCCTTTGAGGTCTTTTGGAAATCAGCTATTTGGAGAGGTCTGCTTTTGTGGGATAGAGGTTCTGTGAGGTTTTTCCTACAGGCAGGGAGGTGTGCATGCAGGATTTGAATCCAGGCTGAATGTGCTTCTGCTGGCACAGTGGGTGTGTGCTGTGAAAGTGAGTCCTGTTCCAACAGATGGCTGAGCTTTCAGGTCACAGGCTAAGAAGCAGGACAAGCAGTAGCAAATGTGTCCAAGTCAGGATCCAAGTGAGAAGGGAGAAAACAGCTGTAAAAGTTTTTATCTAAACTAAAGCGTCTGATTAACCACGGAGAGAATGGTTGCTCAATCTTCCACCTATGGTTTCTGAGCAGAGCTGGATAGAAGGGGCAGTCATGAGCTGAAAGCAGTAGATCCATCACATCAAGGTACAGCTTCCAGAAACCAAGTCCCAGTATGCAGAAGCACTCGGTGTGAATGGACTGCCCTTGGGTGGCTGCATATCTGGGTTGCAAATTAAGTTGGCTTTTTTTTTTTTTCTTTTTTAAATTCTTGCACATCCACTAGCAGAAGACTGGGGTCCTTGTTTTAATGGAGATTTGCTTTTCTCTGCTAAAGGTTGGATGGTACAATGCAGTTCTCCAGCCAGCCTTCCATCTCTCCTACCCGGATGACACACTGGCCTTTGTTGTCCTCAGCACGCCTTCAATGTTTGACAAAGCCCTTAAGCCTTTTGTGAATAAAGAACGGTTAAAAATAATCAGAGATCCTGTGGATCAGTGTGTGTCCCATCATTTATCGAGTGTGAAGGAGGTAAGAGCCTGAAATGCTGACTCCTTTTAATATTGTGGCATATAACCAACCAGGTGGTTTGAACAGTAGACAAAGCCTTCTAGGCTCCTGCCCTTGCTCTTGAAAAGGGCAAAGCATCGTTCACATTCTATCTCTACCAGTACAACCTGTAGTTACGCAGGGTGCTTTACAGTCACAGTTTGAACACCCAAAGATGAGAGCATGCTGAGAGAGTTCAGTATCAGAATGTGGAATGTGCAGGCCTCTCACTGTGCCTGATTTGCTAGTATCCAACAATTCTGTAATGACAAATCTTTTTCCATGGATCTGTGCTGATTATTTTTTTTCTTTTTCCCCAGATATTCCCTGACCAGAAAGTGGATGTCATTTTTGATTACGAGATACTGCCAAGCCGAAGGCCCAAGTTTCTGGCACAAACAGCTGCTCATGTTGCTGGAGCTGCATATTACTACCAGAGGAAGGATGTGAAGCTTGATCCCTGGGGGGAGAAGGTGAGGCAAAAACATAATCTGAGAAGAAAAGACACCAAACTGCTATCACCAAATCATACAACTATTTTTACTGAGCAGTTCTTCCTGCAGGAAAATACAAAGTCCAGATCAAACATAGCTGTGTAGCTAAATGAAGTGTTTCAGGCAGGAGTCAGAGGCAGCCAAAACTCTACAGTGTGTTAGAGGGACGTGTAAATGGAGAAGAATACTTCTTAAGCCTACTTAGAAGAGTACACTTCAGTGTTAAAGACCTGCTGACTGTAGCACTGTAAATAGCAAAAAAGAGCTCTAGTCAGTCTCTGTATTACATTTTCAAAGAGACCTCTCCCTGCATTACAGTATGGTTTGTGTGTGGGCATAGGAAAATGGAAATCAAGTGCCACATGCTCAGAGAGGGATTTTCTTCCCTGAATAACTTTCCAGCTGGGGGCCACAAGTGTAAGAAATTGCTTGATCTCTAACCATTACCAGAGACAGAGTGAGACATCTTAGATCTCTTTTTTTCACTTCCAGAAGATCTTTGGTGTATGTATCCATCCCAAGTATGGTGGTTGGTTTGCTATCCGGGGTCTCCTGCTGTTCCCAGATGTTCAGGTACCATTCCTGGAACAGTCTGCTCCAGTTGACTGTGTGAGCACAGAGCAGAAAAGAACAGAGTTGCTGGAGTTGTTCAATTTCCACTGGCAGGACGGCCGCTACAGGGATATCATTGAAGTGAAGGAAAGGTACTCTGAGGAACAGAAAACCTACTTTTCCACTCCTCCAGCAGAAAGATTCAGGCTGCTAGGGCTGACACGTTTCACAGAGTAACGTGGTTCCATGAAGGTGCTGGGCACAGGTGAAGTGGAACTCACCAGCACCTTTCCCATACTGCTGAGGAGGAAGATGTGCTGATAGGGACTGAAAATCCAAGTGTTGTGTACAGCATCTCAATCCAAACTTCAGCTTTTCAGATATAGAAGGAGCACTGCATCATAGCACTTATGGTCTGGAGGAAGGTGGAAGCAGTCAGTTCCCTTGCTGATGCTGATTTTTGAGAATCCCATTAAAATACCCATTTATCTGCCTGGGCAAAGTTGAGACACCCTGGCAATGGGAAAACTTGTGCTGCTTCTTGCAAAAGTTATGTTTTTTCCTCAAGAATGTCTTCTCCCAATATTTTTGTTTTATTTTATGTAAGAGTAAAAAAGTTATTTATTGCTATTGCATTCTGAAATATATTTTTTTTTGTTTGCACTCAGGGCAGATACTTTTCAGATGTATCCAGCATTTCATTGCCCTGTGTTTTAACTCTCTAGGGAATACATGTTCAGTCCTCAGAAGAACATTTTCTGCATCCCCTCACTTCTCATGAAGCTTATTTTAAACAAGAAATCTTGTAACATCTCCATTCCTTAACCCCCAGAAGAAAATTCTCCAGAGACTGTTTCATTGGTTTGCATGGTCCTGTGCAGGAAGTGGGAGTGAGCAAAAGACAGCAAACAGCAGCAGCCTCCTCCTTCAGGGTAGTTGTGGAAGGCAAAGGGTCAGAGTGAAGGTCACAGCTCAAGTCTGACACATTTCCTATTCACCCACAGTTAGCTTCTCAGAACGAGGTGGAAGCTTTAGGTCAATAAGAAGCACTCACCCATTACACAGAGCAGCCTGCTAAAATCTTGGGGAAGATGCTGCATAATGCCTGGCTTTTACACTAAGATAAATAACTGGAAAAGTCAATTCTTGTTACCTTTTTCAAAGGTGGATGAGAATTTAAAGTACTTTCCAATGCCGTGTCAGTAATACCACAGCTGTAATACTGTAGCTTCCTGTTGTACTTTCTAGATGAAGGAGATCATGAAGTTGCATACATGTAAAAACCATTACATGAAGTGTTGTTGCACTCAGACACAAGCAGAGAAAAAAAACAGGGAAAAATTCAGCCAAAATTCACCTCACATTGCTGGTCAATACATTTCCAGAGAAACTTTTGTTTGTTACTTTGTTTTAAGATTACTGTTGTGTTAGATTTGTTCATAGGTCACAGTGGCAGGGGAATGAGGAATTAATTTATCTCAGAGCAGTTACACCTCATTAAAATAATAGAGTACATTTCAAGAATGTTTGATGGAGGTTCTGTTACTTTACTGCAGTGCAGTGCTGCAGAGTGCTGAGCACTTTTCTCCCTTTGGTACCGATGTGGTTATGCAGAACTGAGCCCTTTAGTTTGTGTTGTGGATCTTCAGCCCTCTGTGAGACCCAGGCACTAAAGCTGCCCTCACAATAAGTCAATGCTTGATGGACTTTTTTTGCAGTCTGTATAGTGAAATCAGCAAAATCAAAACTCAGCATAACTAGTCTGTTATTCCTGTAAACAGAGCAGCAAGCGTGTGATCACTGGCTTTGTTCAGTGTTCGTTGTTACAGAAACATGTTTGTTACTTTCCATGCATTGTTCAGCAGACAGCTGACAATAATAACTGTTTTTAAGCTAAACAAAATAATTAAATTCATTTGTTTAAATTCTGCTTGTTACAGATTTACTTCTGGTTGAAATGTTGGTTAACCTCCCAGAGGCTCCCAAGTCAACTGGAATTTAACAGGGACTTGAGCTGATGGTTCATAGTAGTTGTGTATATAAAATATTGACTCTGTTAGAAGGACAAACGGTGATGTTCTTACAGGGATAAACAGTGATTCTCTAAGAAGGATATATAGAGAGTGGAAGTTGATTTAGTTTTACATAATGGTTTAAAGTTTTTAAAAAATTGGTTTTGGTTGATTTCTTACAAATATTAAATATTTTGTCTTACTTCTCTCACTGAAAAGATTACTGTAGTGATTTCTTTGTAATCTTTTTGTAATTTATTTCCCATATGTGGTATTTTGGTTAATAAAATGTACAAAGGTGCAATAATCCTGAGAGTGGAGTGTTTTAAGCTATGCAATGATTGACTTGTGGAGAGCTAAGGATGTTAAAGTAAAAATTGATCACCATGTATTTAACCACACAAATAATACTGAACTACATCATTCAAGAGTCAGCATCTGAAAAGAAAAACAGAGCAATCTTAAGATGCTGTTAAGGCCAGCTCACCTGGGATACTGAAACACATCAGGAATGAAGCCTAATTAAACATTGATCTTTACAAGGTTGTTTCAGTGAGTTCAGTGAGATGATTTAACAAGAAGCACATGACAAAGCACCTTGATTTTCTTCCTGTGCTCTGGCAGTAACAAAAGATCAGATCAGGGTGTCCAGCAATAATTCAGCTGAGGGGTTTTCCTCTCAGTAGCTAAAAAGCAATACCTGTAATTACTAGAATTCATTTAAAAACATATTAGTGATATTATATCAAGTAGGGGCAAATCTGTGTTCTTGATGCTTCAGGCAATACAGTTATGTCAGGCAGAACAGAGTACAAATATTTAACTCCATACTCAATCCTATCATAGTAGTTTTGGAGTGAATTGTTTGTTCCTACTGCCTTTCAGCCAAGTCTCTGAGCATCACAGCTGCAATTGCTCTCCTTGCTGGTCTGTGCCTGAAGGCAGAGTCTGAGAACCCGTTTGACTTCTCATCTCTTTGACAAGACCAGACCTGGTGAGGAACAGATTATTTTGGATCCTGAGGCAGCACAAAGACATTCTTATCTGAGGCAGTTGTCAAACAAGTCATTGCAAATGTTTAGCCAGATGATTTAGCTACCACATTTTACATAAGTTTTCACTAAATTCTCATTTTTAAACATATAAGTTCCTTTCTTCTTCGCTATAAGCAGCAGGGGGAGTATTTAAGACCTGAGCAGTAAAGAAAAGTAAGAAGCTATTGGACTTTGAATTCAGATTTCACAAGATATCCCATACATTTCAAAGTAATCAAATATTTTGTCATTTCTTCGTGAGCACAGCATTAATAATTTACCTGCTCCATCAGTGGAGGTTAGTAATGAAGTCAGAAATGAAGAAAAAAAATGGTGAGATTTTTATTAAGATTAAATCTGTGACAGACAATACTGATTAAACACAAAGCACTGTCTAATCTGGTGACAAGTAGACATGATGATTATTCCTCAGAAACAGGAAAACACTTCAGGGCCTGTTTTTACCTCCCCCATCAGTTAAACCAATTACTCTTATCTCAGTAGTGCAAAAATAAACTCTCTGGATTGACTGAGCCACTAAGGACTGTGTTGCAGAGCTACTTCCTGATGCTGTGTCTAAACGATAGGCAGCAACCAGTCAGTTCCAGTGTGGCTATGAGCACGCTGTTCAGTTCCAAGCAAAACATGCATTTAAAAAGTCTGCTTTCAGGTGCAGTGGTTCTAAAGTTGTTCTTGAAGAGGAAGTGGGTGTTGCTATTTACTACAGCACAGAGCCAACCATAGCTCTTCAACCTTAACCATCACATTCATCTACCAAAATGGACAAGTATACTCTGGCTTCCCACCATACCACATATCTCACCTTAGATCATCAATATGTTTGCTGCAGAATGCAAATAAAGTATTTCCCCTTTATGTCTTCAGGGAAGGAACACATGGTTTTCTTCTCTCTGCACCTGTATACAGTGATATATGCATGGAAGAACAGTGCTATAAAGGAGAAAACAGGAGTACCTATTTCTCTACAATGACTGGCAGACAGTCATGGGAAATATGGCGAGAACAAAAAATGAGGTTTTGCTGGAGATTGAAAAGTATTTTAGTGGAACATCTGAAATCTCTCCAATAATACACCACAACCCTTAAAATGTGACTTTCTATCTTTAAATATTCTACCTTCCACCTTCATGGAGAATGCATATAATGTCAACAAAGGGGAATTATATCCACAATATATTTCTCATGAGAATTTTGTTTATATTCAAGCACAGCTTGGCAAGCAAGCAATTTCACTTTTAATAACAGGTATTGAGGGAGAATCAGATGTCTTACACCACCAAAGTTTCTGGAGGCCATTTTTCTACTATGCAAAATAAAGGATAGGTGGGCAAGTCCCTGCAGCTCAATTAAAGCAGGAGGAGGCATGGCTACGTGGGTTGAAAAATCTTAATAGAATCTTAAATACATGCAGAATCATTAGTTTCTCTATTAACACATTAAAAAAAAAAATCTATTATACTGCTTTAGATTCTCATTTCATGCTGTCACCTTTTTTCTAGTACTACTCAGACTAAGATTCCTGAATTCCTCCATTGCTTCAATCATCTCAGCAGGCTTTTTCCCTAGCTAGAAATTGTATTTGTTAAAAAATGAATTTTGATCAGTTTTATCTTTCCCTGACATTAGTTGTAGATAAAAGGCTTTTCTTTCTCTCAGAGGACGTTTCTGTCAGCACAGATATTTCAAGACTTCATGTAGATATATAGTCAATGAATACCTTCCACAGAAACATCATAAACCACAGTACACTCATTCTGTGATATAAGTTTCAGCTAAAAGAGCCAAGTTTCATGTTGAAGTCCAAAGCCATCATCACTAGGTGTGGTGGGATGAGCTTACCTCAGCAGGAACTGCCAGCAATGCAGCGCTGCCACCCAGCCGTGCAGCCACCCAGCTGTGTGCTGCATGGGCTCATCCATTCACAGCACACACCGAGCACAGCTGTCTGCCCACCCCACCCTACTGCTTCACACAGCCCTTTGGCAGTTCTTATTGTTCCCTTGCAAAGCTGAATCACAAAGTTTCTGTTGCAAGTCCTCTGTAGCTTAATCTGTCCAAGATACTTCAGAACTTACACAGGCTGTCACCACTGAACGTCAGACTGAGAGTTTTGCAGAGTACATTTTTCTTACAATTAATGCAATAAAATCCACTGCTCTTCTGATGTATATTAAAGAGTAGAACTGCCAGAGTTAGTACACATCCTTTTCTAACCAAAGTGCATCATTTCACAATAGCTGTGGTACATAACCTACCTGCTTATGTTCTTAGAACTCTATTGATTTGTTGGAAAAGCCAATAAAAAATTCAAAGGTCCCACAGAAAGTCAGGAGTGCTTGTTAAGGGATCTACTTTTAAGGTTTTCTAAAGGAGTGCTTTTCAAAAACAGATGGGAACTCCTTTCATCAAAGTGGCACTTCTCATCTATGTAATGAAAATGCTTAGTGATACCAAAACAAACATTCCATTGTTAGTTTTGAAATAACATACACAAAACCTAGTGTCTCACATGGCCGAGGGATGAATAGAATCTTTAATTGTATCGATTTAATTGCACTAATTCCCACATTTAGCTGGTTATTTGGCACAAACACATACCAGTATAAGCACAAGGCAAGCTCCTGTCCCACAGCTGTTCTGGGCTTTGAGCTCTTCTATTGGCCACAGCTTGCTGCACTGGGGGAACGCACTCTGCAGCGCCTCAGCCCGCCCGCCACACGGTGGTGTTCAAAGGAAGCACCGCACGTCAGAGGAGCCGTTAGGCGAGCGAAGGCAGCAGGCGTTTATCGGCACTTTCCACACCGCCCGCCCACCGAGGCTCCCCGCACCCGCAGCCACACAGCGACCCGACGGCGGGGAAATGGCGGGCGGCGCCTCCCGGCAGGGCGGGAACAACGCCGCCTGAGGGAGGAGGGCAGCCCAGGAGCAGGGACTGCCCACGTCCTCTGGGCTCCAGAAGTCATTTTAGTTATACCAGAGAAATTAAAAACAAAACACGTTCCAATAGCCTGAAGCACAAGAGCCATCCCAAGGACTGCTGTTACCAATTCTCTTATGCTTTAAAGTAAACAGAGCAAACAATACAACTACAGTTTGACACTAGACTAGCTCTGACCTCCCCCATTTCCCTTTCATCAGCAGGGCATAACTCCATGTTCAGTATTGCTTCAGTAGCTGTTCACTCATCTTGAAGCTCATCAAGCATATAAATACAGCTTTAAACGCAAGTGTTTGCTTAGACCCTGCAACTATTACTTCAACAACCTATGGATGTTAAGCTGCTCTGTTGTCTCCATGAGAGGAGTCACATGGGCTCTAAACACTAAGCAAAGTGATGCAACTGAGAATTACTTCCACACACCTTCTGGAATTTGTCATAGCTAAGCAAGACCAAAAGGATTCACTTTCAGTATTTCTCACTGTAATTCTGCTCCCACCGCTCCAACCTCATCAGTTCAGTACTCAAGGCATCTGATGACCATTTCTGACTCTTTTAAAGTAGCCCTGGGCCTCAACTTTGCTACTGTTCACTTCAGCAGGATAGAACTCCTAATTGAGGAGTTAGAGACAAGGTCTTGGTATTTGAGAGTTGGATCTTTACAGGTACATAAACATCACAAGGCTCTAACTCACTTGCACTGCAAAGCAATAGCTCCTGCTGATCTGAACATCATTACAAGGCACCTGTAACCATGAAGCCCCATGGCCAACACAGCTGTAATTTAGTTAAAGTTAATGAAGGCTTATGTGCATGTTATAAAACTCATTTGCGGTACAAAGATGAAAGGTGAGGCTGAGCCAATCCAAGTATCCAAGTTTATAGTGTCACCCTTTTGATCTTCTCCAGTACCTTGCAGTCATATGATCAACTAGCACGCTCTCACTCCTCCCAGGACTCTCAACTCCATGTTGTGTAACCAAAGAATCCACATCATATATCCAAGGAAATTTGTTTTCCAGGAAGCCCAGTACTCCTCTCCTCTAGTGTCTTCAAACTGGATGTTAAGATTCCCAGAGTTTTTGCCTATGCAATCAAATTTGACCAAAATAAATGCAGAAATAAATTTACATTGTACATGAAGACTTGCCTGGCCTCTGTCAGCCACAACTGGGCTTCACACTCCGGGCACTGTAGTATTTCTTAACCCTGACAGATCCAGGTCAAACTGTGCTCCTCTACATTCCAGATTTTTCTTCTGCTGAGAACTTTCCTATAGAAATGTAGAACTGAGGTGTTAGTATCTCCATTGCAATGGAGCTGCAGAAGGCTTCCAGGAATTAAGCTGTCTGCAGGCAGTTCAACAGACTGAGTTGCGAGACCATGATCTTTTACTGCTATTTAGAAGTTGTCTTACTGAACCAGAGCATTACACCATAACCCATATGCTACAAAGGAGTATAGTTCCCTCTACAGAGATCACCTTTGTGTATCTTCTGGTGAATTAATTTTGCCACTACTTGTCAGTGAACCAGAAGCACAGCCTGCGTCGCTCTTCAAACTTTTGACTACATAAGACCAGTACACGATCTGCTCTTTCCACAAGTTTAATAGTTACAAAAGGATACCATTGTTCTATATGCAACACATGGCTAACCACATACACTGCATTGTCACTAAAGTCAATAGGCCCTGATGTACAGATATTGATCATTAGGGTTTTCTATGAAGTTACTGTCAACAGGACAAACTTTCCTTCAAGTAAAAAAGTTACTGTTTATACCTACAGCATGATCCCTTGACTCAAATGCAATTATTTAGTCAAAGTTCGGTAACTGGTACTTGCTCTTTATGTAAGGCATACTAGTTTCCACTCAATGAAAGTTTACTTCTGCTTGGAGAAATACTCTTTGCTTTTCTGAACATCAGGCTTGATTGTATCACTGCCGGGCTTCCAGCCAGCTGGGCACACTGAAACAATAAGAACATGTAAGCCTTCCTAGCCACTCCTGCTCAATGTTTTACAAAGACATTAAAGCACACTAGCAACAACTCATAGCTTTTAAGATTTTTGCAACATACAGAACATACATTAATCAATTCAGCATTATCTTCAGCTCTCAGCTTCTGACCGTTGCTATATACCTTATCCTAGCCTAGATTTCAGTCTTAGCTCTGTAAGAAGAGCTTCTGCCAGATTTTGACTACTCCAGGGCACAGTAAACCTCAAAAGGCTTCATTTGCAAGACATGTGACTGCCCCATCAACATATATTAGGGATACCTCCTCAGTTGAAAAAGAAAAATAGAACATGGCATTCAAGTTATGAAACATTGATGCTTTTCAGGCTAGGGCACAAGTACAATAGCAGCTGGTTTTATTAAAGTGCAACATCAACCAACCAGTTCTGAAGCAAGTTAAGTAGTAGCAACACCTGCAATTAACTAATGTCAGCTAAATACTATTAACACCTATACTAAACAATTTTGGCTTTAATAAACCACAAAGCTTTCATATGCAGTGGTTTTGGTTTTTTCTTCTTCTTTTAGGCAAAGCAACCAGCCTCAAGAACCTTTGTACCACTACTACAGGCAGAAGAACTCTGCCATTTTCCCCTTTGCTTGGCCTCAATATTCACAGACACAAATAAACAGAAAATTTAAATGCTCTAACAGACTGCTTAATAAACACATCAGTATCAATTGTGTCAGTCTATCAAGTCTGAGAGCTGAGTCTAAGTTAGTTTTGCCTGTAGAGGCAAGCATAAGACATGTTCTTCAGCATTTGAGTATTTTTAATACCCTTCTTCAATTAGAAGAGCGTTGTCTAATCAAAGAAGATAGACTACTACTACGTCCTTGCCAAGATGCCCAGCACTTGGTTTAAGTGATTTCAACATCAGACAAATACTTGATGGACTATTAGCTGGAATAAGGTTGTATGGTGTTAAGGTGCACTTCAAACAGCTTTACAGAAACAGCTTCATTACAAGAAGCACAATTCTACATACATACTTAGTATCTTTTAGCAAACCTATTTAACCTTAGTTAATACTGTTCTCTAGAGACCCATTTAAGAAATCAGAGTGAACCCTTACCTTCTCCATGTTTATCTGTAAACTGGAAGGCCTGCACAAGCCTGAGGGTCTCATCAACAGAACGGCCAACGGGAAGATCATTGATTGTTATCTGCCTCAAGATCCCCTTCTCATCAATGATGAACAGACCCCTACAAAGACAGACCTGAAGTTAAACACAGGTTCTGACAGATTTGTTTGAAGCAAGTTTTGTCAAGTGAGTTTCAGAAACAATACTCTATCACAAAACTTAATAGCATGGTATAGTATTATTGACCCCTTCCTTTCCCAAAAAGGAAGAGCCCTCTGTTTATACGCTTAATACAACACCATGAGGAAATAATCAGACATTCAAGAGGAGCTAAGAGAGACAGAAGATAAATATGAAATAAAATGCTACTTTCCTGTGTTTATTTGGATTTAAGGAATATACTAGTGGAAAGAAAAAAAAGAACACAAGGGAATTCCTTCTGAAGAAGAAAAAAAACTACGCAATTCTTACAAATACAGCTATGGCCAATCACCAATCAGTTAGTTCTCTAAAGTCACATGAAAAATTAGCAGTTCAGCTCCCTCAGCAATTTCAACTGTTCAGCTGACTAAAAGGTAAGGCATGGCTTTTAATTCCTCACTAAATACCTCTAATCACTTTCATGACTACGTAGATCTTGTATTAGCCATATCTGCATAAGCTCACCTGCATCATGTAGATAGGTGACGCTTTAAGTAATGCTGTTATCAAAGGAAAGCAGCAGACATTTTATCTAGCTTACCAAAACCATAAGTCTAAACAAGTAACGTCTCTCCTTGTAGAAGTGTGATAGCTTAAAGCAGCTTACATCTTGAATAGCTAAGAACTTCAGTTCACTGCGGGTGTTCAAGTATATGCAAGTTCTGCATTAAAGTTGTCTGTTGCAATAACATTAACAGGTTTACCTTACTGCTTATTACCTGTATGCAATACCTTCATCCTCTTTAAGTACTCCATAGTCTCTGGCAATGGCACGATTTGTGTCAGAAACCAGTGGGATTTTCATAGTGCCCAAACCACCTTGTTTCTTAGGAGTGTTGATCCTAAAAGCAAAAAGGTCAGTTCATAAGTGCAGAGGCTCACCCTAAGTGCACTCAAGATGCACAAAGGGTGCCACAAGGTAACAAAGGACCCCATTCTGTTTAGAAGCACTTGGAATGACAGCACTTCCTACATGTCTTTATTTGATACACCAGTAAATTAAGCTTGTCTGAATACTCAGAATCCAGTTCCTGTAAGAATTGAGGCCAGGCACAGTACTGGTATAAGGTTTAAAGGCTGATTCTTACCAGGCAAGGTGACAGAAGTGAGAATCAACAGAAGCTCCAATTATTTCACAGTTAATTTTCTTGAATTCATCAGCTCTGTCACTGTACGCAATAATTTCAGTTGGACAAACGAAAGTGAAGTCCAGGGGGTAGAAGAAGAACACAACATATTTTCCTAGAAGAGCAATGTCACCAGTTACTCTCTTACATTCAGTTCTATAGCAGTACCAAACTTGCAAACAGTGACAGAATAGCTTTCTAGTACTTCAGTAGAAAGAAACTTCATTAGTTAGAGGGAATTCTATTTTCCACCAACAGATAAACCTACAAAATTTGGTAGCTCTACTTAACATTTTGAAGATGTTACATCAGACTCAAACTGACTGAAGCTAGGATAAGACTTAACTGTTCTATTTTAGAGGAATTTTATGCTGATAGCCAACAATCATAATTAGGACATTCAGCCATGCTGTCAACAGCTTCCCAAACATACTCCAGTCAGCAATGAAGAAAATCACTGTAGATTGTCTACAGTCAAGTGGTCACAGTTACTTGGAAACCAAATCAAAGGCTTAATTAGATGTTCCCCTGCCCCACCCCCCAACTCCTGCACATGGGGAGATCACATTTGTGTATGTGCATCTAATTACACCTACCTCTATAGTCAGAGAGATTGATATCTTTGAATTGCCCATCTGGCATTACAGCTGTGGCAGTAAACTCAGGGGCTGGTTTTCCAATGAAAGCCTTTCCTGAAGACATCTTGATTTAATCTAGAAAAGAATTAATAGTGCAGTTTAGATAGTTGTATGTTTGAATATATCTGACTTCCAGGTGCATCATATCAGTTTAAACATCAACGGGGTAGTTAATCAGCATCTGATCTTGCAGCAAGGCTTAAGAGTAAAATTCATTTTAAGCTCATCATCTGGGTAGTCAGGTATCCAGATGAAACTACTAAGTAGATGCCTTATAGCATGTTAGTTTCTTAACAATAATTATCTTTGACCAGTAACAGCTCATCAGACAGTTAACCCTCTCCCAGCCTGTAGTGTGAGTACAGCTAGAACTCTTAAGTCTTCCAGCTCCAATGGTTGGATGAATTAGAAAGCCTTTCTCCTAAACTTCTGATGAAGAGACTCTCCTTGCTCAAGTCCACAAGGGAACATAAGGCCTCAAACCTTGTCTCCAAGCAGAGTTTTGTTAATCTCTAAGAGAACAACACTCTCCATAACTACTCTACAGCCTTGCAAACAAAGAAACCTTGTTTTATTTACAAACAAAAGACTCATTATGTATTTTGATTCACATTTTACATTAACAACGTAAGTTCCATGAAGTCTTAAACCAGTGAAACCAGGCTGGTTCCCCTGAATATTTCAGTCTATTGAGAAAGAGTAGGAGCATACGAGGCCAAGAGAAGTTTACTTCTGGCCACCAGCCCTAAGTCTTCGTAACATGTTCTGTACAGCACTTCAGCTCAGTCTACAGATGCAGCATTTCAGGATTCAGCGCTTCAGAATTCCAGTTACTTCCAGAGCGCTGTCCTTCAAATGGACAACTTCATGAACCTAATTCCTTCAGATCAGTCTTCAAGCAATCTCTCTGAAGTCATTTTACATGCTGTAAAAGAATTACCTGGCATAGAGAGACAAGCCTCTGAAAGGTTAATATTACTGAGTCTCATATTGCTACAGAAAGCTGAGATTCAAACCCTGCTTGCATGGCACAAAGTCCATTCCAGAACAAGCCAGATGCACTTAATTTCTTGGCTCCTTCTCCCTTACCAGAGCTCCTGAAGAATTACCTCAGATGTCATAAGGATTTAATTTTTATTCAAGTTTAAACTGATCAATTTAGAGCTTCTATGAGGAGTTTAACATTTGAAGGCTCCTCTTACATGCAGTGAAGACAGACAATAACCCCCTCCTTCACTTCTCTTTGCAAAATGCCACATTACTCAGCATGTTTAACTGCCTCATACAAAAGGTTCCACATTCCTAGTTCATCCAAGGGATTCATCTTCAATTGCAGCAAAGCAGGACATAGTCTTATGAAGGTAGCCAGAACTGCAAAGCATTCATAAGATGGCACTGAAACAGCCTAGCATAATGACATGAATAATCCCTCTGATCACTTCATGGAGCCATAAATGCAGATGCTATTCTAAAACTACCATCGCACAGCAGCTCTGAGACATCTTCTACCAGAAAGTTCTGTCTTTTAAACAGTACCTATTTTATCTGGAGTACACGACCCCGTGTTTTACCATGGAATTACATTCTTCCCCTGTACTCAAGCTCAAGGTCATCCTTTTGCTCAGACTATGCCAGACCTATATTTGTTCCATCAGCACTTCCCTGGAGCATAATGCTAGGGATACGGTGTCAAATACAGGCAGTCAGACTGCTCTCTGATACTTCTGATAGAGGAACTGTTGTCCCTTTTTAGATAACCTGCAAGTCTTCAACATCGGGTTAGGAGGTTTAGTGGTAACCTACTGCAAGAGCTGTGCTCTGAAGCAAGCAGATGCAATTTGCCACCGCTTGCCCTCCCAGGCAGGGGCAGCACGCAGCCACACGTTCTGCTTGGATTTCCAGCCACAGCGTTTCCTAATCCGCCGAACAGAGCACAGACTGCGTGCGAGCTCCTTTCGTTCTACAAGCACGGCGCTGCAAACGGAGCGCAGCTCCAGCAGCTCAGAGACCGCCACGCTGTAATGATAACAAGCCAGCCTACATTCAGACTGGAAATTCACACCTTCAGGATGCTCTAATGGGAGCGAAAGGCTGTTCCAAAACACGGCAGCCTTCCCCTTCACCGCCCCAGCAGTGCGATGAAGGTACCGAGCTGCAGTCGGAGAAGGGCGGTGCGGCCATTCAGCTCCCGGCGGGGCCGCCCCGCAGCCGGACCGGGACAACCCGCACAGCAGCCCGCAGCCGGACCGCTCCGCGCACGCCGCCCGAGGCCCGGCCCGGCCCCGCTCCGAGCTGCCCCCGCCGTGCAGCTCCCGCCGCCCCTCCCCGCGCAGCGCCGGCGGAGGGCCGGGAGGCGGCGCGCAGGGAGCCGTGCCCGGCCCCTCTCTGCCCCATGGCCCTTTCTTTAAAGAAAGGGGGAAAAAACCACACGCCAAACGGCTGCCGAAAGCGGCATCTCCAGCAGAGCCCTCCCCTGAGAGCAGCGTGCGCAGAGGGCTTCGCTCGACCCCTTCCGCAGACACGGAAAAAGAGAAAGGGGACGGGACCAAAGCCATAAGCGAAAGCAACGTGAACCCCAATCCCCCCAAGCGACCCCCACCCCGAGCACTGCGCGCTGCAGGCGCGCTCCGATCCCATCCCGCTCCCCGCCCCCACTCACACAAAGAGCCGCGCACCGCAAAAGCTGCACACCGCACTCCAGCAGGAAGCCACGATCTGCCGCAGCCCCCGCCGCGCCGCCCCTTTATAGCGGCCCCGATCTCGCGAGGAGACGGGCGCGGCGCTCCCGGTCCGTTCCTCCCGTCCCGCCCGCAGGGGCAGCATGACTCGGCACAACGCGGCCGCACCCGATAGCCGCCCCGCGCCTTATCTGCCCCGCGCTGTACGGCCGCTGCAGAGCGGCAGCGCTCACCGCTTGGATGGCGGCTGGGCGGCGTCGGGGAAACAGCCGGCGGAATGGTTGGAAGCGGTTCACGGAGAGATGAGTCAGGTGGCTCGCTAGGAGAAATGGCTTTAATGCTTCAATAGAACCAAGCCGCAATAATTAGGAGTCATCAGAGAGGGAGGGGAAGAATGAGATCCAGCTGGTATTTGCCAATTAGGTGAATGGGAGTTTGTCACTGACTTCAGTAAAGTCGGACCTATGAACAAAGCAGTGTGTGCTCAGTGCCATGCAGGCGTGGGGTCACATCTGCCTGCTGTTACTTTCTTAACGTCGCGTGGTAAGGAGAACTGAGGTGTATGAACTGAGGTATCGCTGCAGCTCAGGCACATGGGAAGGGATTACCCGGGCAGGCCAGGCAGTCCTAATTAACGCCTCTACAACAAAGCAGTCTCCCACAACTCTAGCATGTTACCAGCACACAAAGCAGTAGTGGCTTTCTCGTGATTCAGTGCTCGTTTCTCACAGTTACATGCATAACGTACCCATTTTGTATGGCTACCACCATGCACTTTGCTTTGGGTTTGTGCCTTTAGCACGCCCTGCAGCAGACACACAGCAATTGCACAGCATCTGATCCCTGCACGCCCTGTAAATGCTCTGCAGAGCTCATCTCCATCTGTACATAAAGCCCGATGAATTCTGAGCACGCTGACCTCACTGCACACACATAATATTCCTGGAGCCCAGTATGAGTAAAATCCTGTATGTATGGGGACATTTTAACATAATACATGCAAAAATTCATAAGGCAACAGATGGGTGCTCCCAGGCCTCTGGGCATTCATGCACAAGCAGCTGCTGCATGCTACCTGAAATGAAAACAATTACCTATCATTAAACATACAAGGCACGTATTTCTTTTTCCTTGTTTTGCCCAAGCAAAGACTGTGTTTCTAGGTCAAAATGTCCTGCTTAGCCTCTTCCTTCCTACACAACTCTCTTCTTAAAATTTGGTATTAACATTCTTTATTACTGCATGTCTTGATGTCTGCTTTTTGATGGCAAGACATTTTACCCTTCATTACCTTTTCTGTTTTATTTCCTATTACTGGAAGCTGAGGTGTGGTAAGATTTCATATGTTAATACATAATTTAGGAATTTTTGATTTTATTAAGATTTTCCAATGGATTTCTGGTTGGCAAAGTCTCAAAAAAAAAAAAAAAAGAAATCCATCAGTTTTCCCTTCCCATTTTATTCTTTCCTTTTCCCAATGCTGCATTTCCTCTCTTACTTTTGTCGTCTTTTCTGTGCCCTCCTTCCAGCTCCTGCATTATGTCAGGACAGGCTGCACCAGAAAAGTCTGGTCATGTGAGTGCCCAAGAGATTAATTAACCTTTGTGCTTTTCAGTCTCCCGAGCAGTCGAAGTCAGAAAGAATCTGCAGCAGGACGATCTTTCTGGAAATAAGCAGCAGGCTCTTCAGAGCCTTGTTAGATGTATACTTTGCCTTACTCTGACACAATCTCACTATTCTTTTTGAATTATTCACATATATATTTTACAAACTACAAAAATGGAAGCCTGGAGTAAACACCAAGCTGGTTCTAGTTTTCCTTAGTGCTGTTCAGGACGAGGCACGCCGTGCTGCAAGCCTAGAGCAGCCGTCTCGGCCACAGACCCAATTCTGTTCCCGTTGAAATCACTGCAAGTTGTGACTGCACCAGCAGGGCTGCACGTACCCAGATGTAGCCGTTGAGACAAAGTCACTCTGCTTTAATTTTGCTTGCAGCATTCTTGTGCAAATAAGGAAGTGCGTTCTCGCGCACCTGCAGCAGGAGCCCGGTGTCTCGTCAGGAAGTGACACTTCTTTATGCACCTTCGAGTACAAAAGCTAAAACCAAACGCTTGTAAATGCCACGGTGCATTCCCCGAATCCTTGCTAATTAGGACTGCCCATAAAACAAACACACACCAGCACAGACTGTCCAGAGCGGGAAGGGATCACCAAGCCCCGCTCCCGCTGCACACAGGAGCACCCAAACGCTATGTCTGAGAGCGGCGCCCCGCTCCAGCAGCGCACAGCGCCCCGCACAGCGCCGTCCCGCGCTGCCCGCTGGCGGCCGGAAGCGGAAGCGCAGAGCGGCGGCGGCGGCCGATCGTGCGGCGGTGCGCGTGCGGTGCAGCGGGTGAGTGCGGCGCGCTGCCCCGAGGCGCCTCCCGCCGCTCCACGCGCTGCCCCCACCGGGAGTGCCGCGGGGGAGCCGAGCGCGGAGCTACCCCCGGGCCGGGGGGCGGGGCCGGGCCGGGCCGGGGCCGTTTTTGCGGTTTTAGCAATATACATACGTGTGCACTGCTGCCGTAGTACGCGCCTGTATGTATTTTGCTGGCAGAAGGCTCGTGGCTTTGGTTAACGGCGAGCTGTGAGTGTGGGTGGATGGACGGGCGTAGTTTACACTTCCCGTGTTATGAACTCACGCGTTGCTTTGAGTTATTCTGAGCTTTACTCTTTCGTGTCAGTGTGGGAATAGAAGAGATGAGTGATGCTGAAGCCGTATCTCACTTGTACCAGCTGTACCTTCTTTTTTGTATTTACTTGTATTTTCTCCCTTCTTAAAGAGCCTGCTGCCTTATAATGAGCAGACTGACAACAGGTCCTGGACACTTTGCATCTCCTCATTAGGGGAAGAATCTGAGTGGAAACTATTAATGAGTGTTCTCTTGTAGCATTTCCATTCTTCCCAAGTCCGCAGCTCTGCTCTCACTGCAGTGTTAATGTACAACGATATTACATGAAGCGAGATGGTTCCACAGAGCACACTGATGTTAGTTAGCAATTAAACGCGTGCACCTTGTCTTCTGGGCGAAGTGCTGCATTTAAGATGATTGCACAAGATGGCATTGTGGAGCACATGTCTGCTGTATGGTGCTGCAGGGCAGCATGAATGTGAAAGCACCCAGGCCTTGGTTGCATTGCATGATGTAAGAATCATGCAGGCAGTTTAATCCAGGTAAATTGAACCCAGCTGTGCACAGCTGGCAATAAAATGGCTGTGCAGATCTTCAGCACAGATGAGAATGTTAGTATCCTATTCTGACTTTTCTATAGCCACTCCCCAAAATGGACACACACCAGCAGTCGGATGACTGCCTTTCTACCACCATTCGGACTGAATGTATCTCAGTGCAAATCCAGGCTGATTTGTCCGACTATTCCGTACCAGCAAGTGTTGGGCCATTGCAGTCCTGATAGGAAAGGCACTCAGACTCAGCAGAATAGTATCTCAAATGCTGTTTATCGCATTTATAGCCCTATAAAGAAGGCAAATCGTGTGGGTAATCAGACATTCCTTCACCTGCTGGGCACCCTGCGTGGCACAGCATCAAGCAGCTGTCCGTGACACATGCAGCGTGCTGTGTAGGCCCATTGTTTTGGTCACTGGAGCTGTTATAGCATTCTCTTCCAAGAAAACAGCTCACTTGTACTGCCAAACAGAGAAGACACTCACGTGAGAACTTCCTGCTCTGTTAGATAAAGGCAAGGACGTGCAGGTGGCCTAATGACAGGTACCAAGTGGGAGCTGCCTGCATGCTGCTCTGTTCTGCTGAGCATATCCTGCAGCTGTGAGGTGTGTGCAGCATGAAGGCTGTGCTGTGTGTGAGGTACGGTGCTGCTTGAGCCTGGACCTACTCAGGCTAACAGTGCTGGGGATGTCCATCTCAAAACTTGTGGCTTGAGAAGCTGTGTGAGAAACTGAAAATAAAAACTTTCTGTGTGAGGGAGTCCATCAGTAGGTGCTTATTTGCAGGAGAAAGATGGTAACAGTATTATGGAGAAGGCTGTTTTGGAGCAGTATTCTGTGTGAAGGCTTCTCTTTGAAAATATACATTCCTCCAGCATAGTCAGCCATTTACCAGCATTGTGTTCTTCCACTCTTGTTTCTGTCTGTGTGTTTTTAAGTAAATAGCATTCAGGAGTTTGGACACAGCTAAACTTGAGAAGTAACTTCCTCATCTTCTGCTGAAGTCAGCTGGCTGCCTTTGGAGCTCATCCTGAATGTGGTTTGTTTTTAACAGTTCGGCCAGAAAGATAGATTGGGAGGATGTTGGGACACAGTATAAAAGCTTCCTCTTTGATAAAATCTATGAGCAGATTACTGTCTGCAGCAGCTAAAATGCCAGCAACAGGTAATGGAAGATCCTGCTGGGGCTGTTTTGCATTTCACGTGGAAAATGCATGCATATCCTGGTGTTAAGCATGACAGAAGCCCAAAGTGATGTTTACCTTGTGCAGTATTTTCATGTTCTCCCTTTAGTAATAGACAAATGCTGCTCCTCTGTGAATTTGTGATAAATCAGTATTATTATCACCTTCTGTGATAGTAATACTAGCTGTTATATTGTCTGTACTTGAACTGCAGCTTAGGCAAGTTGAGTTCTTGTTGTCAAATCGCCAGCAGAGTTCACAGGCAGATTTCCACAGTATGGGAACAGGAGATCTTTCAGTTCTTTAAAAGATAGCATCCCTTACTACTTGAGCAAGGAGATAGAAAAGAGCAGGACAGCAAAGTCATTTTGGGGTTCACAGTGTACAAATACATAAAGACCTATTGCTTTTTTGCACATGGCTATTTATATTGATATGTCAGAATTACTTAAAAATATGTGTTTATCCCCAGCTGCAGCGGTAATTAGAGCTTGGTTCCTCAGTCAGCCAGTAGGGAGTTGGTAAAAGAGAGAGACTTTGTGCAGAAATCTGAAGGCCTTGCTTCTTTCTGTATCATCAGTGCTTACAGATGATTTGGAAGGGAGAGATTGTATGTACTTCTCAAGTCTGAGAAAACTCACAACTGTGCTCTGAAAAAGAGATAAAAGAATAGGAATGAAGAGGAGGAGAAAGAGTCTTTCTTTCTAGTCTCTTTTATAGCTATAAGGTTATAGATCTGGTTTGTACCGCTAGAAGTTGTAAAGACCTTACTTCAGCTTTGTTTCAGTGTAATAACTAAAGTATTATCAAGGCCTGTGTGATTTTATTTATTTACTCTTGCATAGAAAAGGACATTTTATATAATCTACTGAATTACTGCAAAAACTCAGTTTGCTTTTTTTCTTCTTGAAGCAAAAATGTCTGCAGGATGTGACTTTGTTGCACTCTACAATGGGCAGAAGATCCCTCTCATAGGACTGGGAACCTGGAAAAGTGAACCTGGCCAAGTAAGTAGGGAAGAAACCACAGATTAACATCATGTGCTCTCATCTGTTATTTGCATTTTGTACACCTCTTCTGAAGATCCTGGGTTTGTGACCTGGATCCTGTACTTGCATGGGTTTAGTCATAGGTCCACAGAAGCATAACTGAGATGCACGTGAAAGGCTTTAAGGCAGCAGCAGCAGCAGATCCCTTAAGACTCATTAAACCAGACTTCAGGGAGTGGTGCTTTGGAAGATGAATCCAGAAAGAGATCAATTATAGTGCTGTAGTTATAATATGGTGCCTGACTTCGTAATCTACAGGCTGCCAGTCTGACCAGGCATCCCTCTGGCTTGATGTGGTGACTCAGTTGAAAGGATTATTTTGGGAGCCAAGAGCTCTAGGTGTTGTAATAAGACTTATTCCTGTGGTCTGCCTGTATTTAGCACTGTATTTAGCAGAACTCTGAACTTGTTTGGGTCACCTTGCTTTTAGGCTGTGATGGCTAATGTGTCGTTAGAGAGCCACTCTGTTTCTAAATTAAATGAAATGGCAAATGGCAGACTTGGAAACAATTCTGTGTTTTATTGCAGACTGTCTGTAGGAATGTTTGCATGCTGCGGACTGTGCCTCTTGTTGTAATACTTTCCCTTGTCTGTCTTTTCCTTTCTTTTTAATTTAGCTAAAAGATAAATTCCCGAGGGCAGACCTTGCCTTTCACAGCAGGTATACACAGTGTCCAGCAGGAGTGTCGTCTTCTTTGGAGGATTTCTTAATTGGTATTCTTATTTTAATGCCTTTTGGACTTTGTGTATCACTGCACGTCAGTAAACATGTATCTTGCTTATACTTTCATGTTAGCTTCATGATAGTTACAGGAGTAAGTCAGGTGAAACTGTGCCTGTGACAGATGGAAAGTTCACAAAGCCTTCTTGAGATGACCTCTTGTGCTATTCTTTTTTGCCAGCTGGAGGAAAAGGTGGGAAACAAGCTATAAAAATTACATCTATTCAGAGTCACCTTCTTATTATGCTTCCTGCCCAAACAATTGTCAGGACAGTGGTTCTGTTTGGAATGGAAGCTGTAATGATGTGGAACCCAAGGCACAGTGTGAGCTCTCTGTCACCTTGCTAAATGAGGATGAGGGTGAATGTTCAGCTCTGTCACATCAGCTGCCAGCTGCATTACATTTATTAATAAGCAGGAACGTAGTGGATGAATTTCTGCAGACCCAAGGTAGTTTAATGTGCATTGTACTAAAACAAATGCCTGAAACTAAACAAACAAAACATCAACGTGTTACTTTGTGCACTAACTGTCCTGAGGAAAGTGCAGTCTTACAGCTGAGAAAGATCCTGTTTGTGCATAATATAAGCCTATCTCAGGTAGATTTTGCCATCATAAGCAGCACTGCCAGCAGCTGAACCCAGCAGGGATCTGCTACTTAGATCTACCTGGGGTCCAACAGATGTCAGTGGGGGTCACAACTGTAGAACAATGATTGCCTTCAAAGATGTGTTCCTTGAGTGTATTGAAGGCATAATCTAGAAAATGTAGTATAAAATAGCCAGAGTTACAGAAGATGCTGCTATTTCTATGGAATAAATAAGTTTATCACTCTTGGAAATTGTTTGCATCCTTTTCATTTTTAATGGACATTTATCAGATTCAGATGCACAGTAGCAATTTGGCAGAGCATCCAAATGATTTACTTCTGAAAGGGCATGACGTAGTACAGGGAGAGTAGCTATGATTGTGAATTAAAGACCAAGGGCCAAAGACCCAGAGGCAGAATAATCACTGTATTCAATGCAGCCAACTTCCAAATACACACTACTTATCAAAATCCCTTTTGTACAAGGGCTTAATCAGGAGCAAGAGTGGAAGCAGATTGCTTTTAAATTATTTCAAGTAAATATTTTGCAGGTTGCAGTTATTTTCCTTGCCAAGCTGTTTTTCAGTCTTGACCTTACTCTCTTGATTAATTTCTTTATCATTGCCATTATTATTCCTGATCCTAAACAATCCTTCAACTTGAAGCCAGATCTCAGCAATCCAGGACAAAGGTACCATTGCAGCCCCAGTTTCATAGGAGGTGAGGTCAGAGGGAAAATGAACTAGTGAATCTAATAGAGATTATTTAGAATAATGGGAGATAATTTAGAATAGCATTATGTTTTTTTGCTTTACATGATCAAAGGCTAAGAAGAGAAATTTGTTTTAGATGTTACCATAGGAACATGATGGAGAGCTATTGAGTGGAAGTGAATATAGTACAAAAGCTTCTGAGCAGTAGCATGAATGAGTCTAAAGACAAAAGTTCTTTGAGACTGGAGCACCAGGAATATCAGTGGCACAGACTATTAGCACTGGAGCTGTAATCCTTTAATGTTTTCTTCTCACAAATGGGCCACGCTTCCAGCCTGGAGGATGGAATGGCCTTGTGTGCTGTGACAGAGGCTGGCTCTGATGGGACAGGAGATGTGGGGCTGAGGGGGGCTGTATTTCTGTGTGAAAGTTAAGGAAAGCCAGAAGAGGAAATGCGTACCTCAGAAAACCAGTCAGGTTGGGTGTCTTGTGACAGCACTGCAGCTGTGGAGGAGACTGCTTAGGTCCTGAAAGCCTTGCCAGAGTATCTGGAGAATCCTGTCCTGCATATGGCAGCACAAATTCACTACTACTGGGATACATTAAGGGAGGAACTTGAATTAAATATCCGAAGTATAGGAGACATAACTCATTGCTTTGGGGAACAGTAACTGCAAGCTACCATTCATATGGTGGTCTGAGTTTCTTCCTTTACAGCAAACTCTTTGGTCATACTGCATCTGAATATCATGTGGCCTGATGATCTGTTTTTACTTACGCTGACTCAACCAATGGAAGAAAAATTAATTCAGTAATTGCTTCTTCCACAGGCTGCTCTAAAGAAAAGCTGAAAGGATCCTTTGGCTGTTATTATTACCATACAACACAAAATATCCTGAGGCATTTGAATCTCTAACTAATGCTGAGTTTTCCCCACCCCAGGAAATGCATGTACCTGCTTGAACTTAATGTCAAGAATACAAAAACTTTCTCTTGAAACAAAGTACTCTTCTTACACTCACATCCTTCTGTTAGAGTTAACTGCCTCGAAGAAGTTCTTATTTGTACATCTTTCTCTTGATTATTTGCCTTTTGCCTGGAACAGGACCTCTCTGTTCAGATGGGAATGTCTGAGTAGGCTGAGAATAGTTTACACAAATGAAAATTGTGCCCAGATCCAAACCATAGTTATGTGAGTGGTTCTAGTTTTTCAGTGCTAGAAATAGATGAAAATGCTGATACTGAAATATGGCCTTTGCTTTTATAACTTCCCAGAGGCATCTGGAGTGCCTTACCCCTGTTTTTCTGCAAGTGGTGCCATAAAGTTTTATGGCAAATTTTGTTCCTGCTCGGATTTATAACATAAAAAAGCTATATGTGATAGAGGAAATGAGAGATTAGTTCAGAAAAACCCCATGCTGGTTTCCCTTTCCTTTCTGCTATGCTTTTAAAAATAAAAAGGGGGGTGGGCACGCCCAAATTAAACAGAGCGTGCTTCTGCCCATGCCTTCCGCCTTTATGGAGGGGGGATATTCAGCTTTAAAAGCCTTTAGTCTGCCCCAAGTGATTTCAGAGTTCTTGTGACCTTGACTTCCCAGTAACCTTCTGAGAAATGTCTTGTCAAAGTGAAAGAAGGACGGTAAATACCATCCTGCTAGAGGAAGAAAGAGCTGATTTCACTGTTGTTGTAGAAGTGCTTTGTCATTCTGGCTAAGGGCAACTAGTCTGAGTTCTACTTTTCCTCTCAAAATGCCAAAGAATGTAGTCAGAACATCCTGTGTCTGCTTTTACTGCAGTTCTTGACAGGAAAAGCAAATGAAATTCACCAGCAGAAGAGAGATCTTTCACATTTCATTCCCCCCTTTTTAGTAGTATCTGAAAGCAAGAGTCTTTACTCTATTTTTCATTTTGTTAGCTTTAAAATTGAAAATGCTGGTACTTCAGCTGAAAGAAAGCAATCTGGCTCTAGCCCTTGTTGACACGTTTTTAATATCTCTAACTAGATTAGTGCCCTATCACATCAAGCCTCAGACAAAGAGCATCTTAATCTCCATCAGTCCCACGAGACAGGTCTGGGAAGAGCAGTATATAGAAATCCTTGTACAGAGGTGTGCTCTGACTGTAGCACTTAAGAGGTGAACAGAGAATATGTGCATATGACCACTGGAAGTTAAATAGAATGGATTTTACTTAATGCTCTGTTTAAAGGGAGATGGTGACACTAGAGTAATTTCTTCATGCTTACACAATCAGATATTTAAAATTTTCATTGAAAACCTCTATTCAAAAGCCACTTAAGCATCCTGGAAGAGATGCCATTCTGTGTTTCCCTCTTTGCTTTCTAGCCTTGCTCCATATCTAATGCCAGCACGTGACTATATTCTTTGTACTTGTGCTTCATTAGAGCTTTCAACAGCAGAAACACATGCAAAGTGTGGTGCCATGGTTCCAGCCATTCTGGCTCTTGGCAGCACCTTCTTCATCAGAAGTGTGTGAATCAAAATGTGAAGTTGAGCACCAGCAGATCCCTGCAGGCCATGGGTTAATAACCATCAGTATAGTGACTGCTGTTGCACAATCAGTGAGAACGAGACACAGAAGAAAAATGTGCCATAAAGTGGCCTTATCTTAGAAATTAAATAGTTGAACCAAACCTGAGCTTTGGAAATTACGAAATTAGAAACCTGGCTTTCCTTTTACTAGGGGAGAGGTTGTACCTTTCAAGCTTGGCTAACATTGATTGATCGGCCGGTTAGTTCCACTAAGACTGTCCTGATAAATATTTATTTGAAAACTGTTTCTTACAGCTCCTCTGATATTTAACAAAAGTGTGGCAGCTATAGCTAAGAATGAATTTCCATTCTGTGCAGTGAGTTCTTCCATGCTTGCCCTGCATGCATGGCCCATTTTCACCTTACTGTTGGAGTGCCTGCTAGCACCTGGCTCTTTGCTCACAAAGGCTGCGCCATGGGGCACTCTTACCTATGCTGCTTGGATCTCATGAGCTTCTGTAGCTCTGTACTTTGGCAGTGTTTCTCATTAAGTCCTCAGCAGTTTGTTTCAGTTGTGTTCCTTTCAACTGGTTGCATTTGGTAATCTGTTTGTGATTACAGGTGAAAGAAGCAGTGAAATATGCCCTAAGCGTGGGTTATCGCCACATTGATTGTGCAGCAGCTTACAGCAATGAAGCAGAGATCGGTGATGCTTTCCAGGAATGCCTTGGGCCCAACAAGGTAAAAACACAAGAACCCCATGACTGTATCAAAATTTACAGATGTGACCTGAAAGAGCAGACTGTGAGGTTAATGTCTGTAGCTTTTCCTTCTGGTCTGTCCCAGCTGTTTGTTATTAACCAGGGCAGGCATGAAAGAGGTCTTTCTCTACTTTGGAATCATCCTGGCTGTCAGGAGGAGGAATGATTGCCTGGAATACTTGCAAGGAAGCTTAGAGAAAATGCCTTTTTTGCATTCCCAGATAAATACGTCCCCATCCAATAGCCTAATAAATGTGTTCCAAAAAAGAGAGGTTGCCAGAATCAATAGTTATAATAGAAAATAGGTGAGAATTTACTCTACTTTGCCAGTTCAGAGTGTTGTGTACTGCTGGGTAGCTGCAGCAAATCCAGCGATGACTGATTTTTTTTTATACAGTGACTGCATTTGAAGGTTTGGTAACTGTGACTCTAGGGCCTGCACTGAGCTTCATGGCTGTAATGGAATGTAACTGACATTCCTATGAATTATCTCGGGTGAAATCTTCAAGTCATCCTTTTGCTCTTGTTTGCCTGAGGGGCCAGAAGAGTTATGCATATGGCCTCAGAGCCCCTGGAATGAAAGTTCTTGTGTTTCTTCTTCTCTGGTCCTCTGCCCATTGCTGTGGGGCAATTTCTTTGTTAGGTGCTTAGTGCAGAGAGGCTGCTTTCAGCTTGCCCCAGGGATTCCTTTGCACCCTTTAAATACTGGCAACTAATATGGAGAAGCATAGGACTATTTTTACTCAGTTTGTATTAGCTAACTAAGGAATTTTTAGAACGTTTTGCTCGTTGAACACAACAGCTGTTATGTGATCCACAAACAACTGAATGGCTGGAGGACAGAAATGAAGGAATTAATCATTCCTATATACTGTTGACTTGAGTGTAATTTGGTCAATAAGAGATGCTTTCTGATGACTTCAGTGTGTCAAACATGATCTCCATTTCACATTTTATACTTCCTAAGTACCCAAATTTCTATTTGATTCAATTTCTGGGTCTTATCCTTCTGATATGTGACGTTCAGTTCTTGGTGCATTCCTCCTGGAACTTAGAAATTCAAGTGCAGAGGTTTGGGGAAAATGCTTGTTTATTTTCCCACGTCCTTCCTTTGAGAAACATTCTTGGTTTATAACATGATGAATGTAGCAAGTTAGCTGGTTGTGCCTTGACTGTGAATTGTTTAACAGAAATAGCAAAACGTACACATGAATAAACCAAGTAATCTTTCATTTATGCTGAGTAGTGGCTTTAACTCTTGAATTTGTTTGGGAAGCGTGGAGGGATTGTTTTGTTGTGTCAGAACTTGTAGGGAATTGCTAAGTGTTTGATGTGTTTGGGGATGGGCTCACATGTGTGTATTTCCCTTTTCTCCATCTAGCATGTTTCTGAAAGGTTTAATTTGTAGGTTCCACATGTTAACTTATTTAAACTTCTAAAGATATTTGGGGAATTGCTGCTGTTCTTTCTCAGCTCTCTGGTAAATTGTGCTCTCCTCCCTTTCTTAAAGGTTATTAAAAGGGAGGACCTGTTTGTAACATCAAAGCTGTGGAATACCAAGCACCACCCAGAAGACGTTGAGCCAGCACTAAGAAAAACACTTGCAGATTTGAAACTGGATTACCTGGATCTGTACCTCATGCACTGGCCCCATGCCTTTGAGTAAGTTCAGCCTGGAAAGGGTGCAGGATGCAGAAGGCCCAGTTTTACATAAGTGGTTGCTGTTATGTCCTAAGGAGCTTCTTTTTGAGCTGTGTCTTCCTTCCAGTGCAAGCTGCCTGCAGGATGTTTTTGTGGGTGGCTTATAGTGTAGCCCAGCAGACTGATACAGACACCTCTCTACCTGAAACCAGTACCTTCATTCATATTTGATACATTCATTCACAGAAACTATTGTTCCTATTTAATTATTCTTCTTTGAGTTGGCTGGGAATTTGTTGTACTTATCTTTGAAATGAAGTACTTTGTAAAGAAGACAGCACTTCTCACTGATAGTTTTTTTATTAACTGTACTGGAACTGAGCACATGCAGTGTCATGGTGGAGTCTGTATGAGAAGGAAATGAAAATGGGCTCTTATGACACTTGAACTGCAGTCGTTCTAAGATTTGAGGAAATAGGGGAAATTAAATGCTAGTTCTGTGTATCCTACAGTCCTATCAGAAGCAGTGATCACTGCTTTGTTTTCTTGTAGTCATGGATACTGGTTTTTTTTTTGTTTGTTTGTTTGTTTTTTCCTGTTTCAACATTTAGTAAAAAGAAGAGGAAAAAAAAAATCCTGCCCAGCTGTTTGCACGGACACTTCACTTACCAGGAGAAACCCTGTCAGACTCAGAGGGCTTCAGTATATTTTACAAACTTAAAACACTTTTCCCCTTCTAGTCATATGAACTGAATTTTTCCAAGCTTACAACATTTATGAAAGGACTCTCCAGTTCTAAGTGTGTCCCTCATCACAACAGAATGAGGAAGTGTTTTCAAGCAGGGCTGGTCTAGAGGAAGAACTGCTGTTAAAAATTCCCCCTATTTTGAAATAGGTTTGTTTTACAGTTGTTTGGACAAAAATATTTAAACATTGCTTTGATAATAATGTGGAACACAAATAATAATGTCTATGTAGGTATTATTATTTAAACTGCTGCTGTTGTGGCCAATGTTGGCAAAACTGATGTTCAGATCTTCACCCTTTCTCATTGGTAAAGGTTCACTCTCAGTTTTCCATTAGCTCTACTTCTACTGTTCTAGTGCCTGATTACTACTATGCCTACTGAGCTGTGAATCTGTGCAGAAGATATGTTATTTACATGGAAATTAAAATGGACTTCCGGATGAGAATCACAGTACCCTAGGTCTCATGTATTAAGCGAGAGATACATTTTCTACTCTTGACATATGAGGCTGCTTTTCAAGGTTGAGAGCTCGTATGATTATCAGATGGTAGATGTACAAACAAAAATGATGTGCCCAAATGATGTGGGGTCCACAGCTGCTGTTGCACCACATTCACTGCTTAGCTAGAGCAATGTAAGACAGCCTCCAAGATCTGGCTAGCAGTGTTCTGCAGTGGCCATGAGGCAGCACTGGCACCTCTCTGAGCATGAGCTGCTCAGAGATCTCACAGCCCTTAGGTAGTGTGCTGGTGTCACCTGACATAACCAGCTCCTTCCTATGTGTGGCTTTGGGTGCTTAGTTTGTCTTTTATTTTATTGAGTGAGTTGGTATGACTAACTGGAAACACACCCATCCTACAAGCAACATGTGCATGTTTAGACTTCTCTGAAAACCAGAGCTTGTACCAGTGCTGACACTGCTGCAGAATCCAAACAGAGTGGGAAAATCAGACTACTTTGCACTCAGTCTCTGCTACATAGCTCTTAAACCAAGATCCCTTTGGTAACAGCTCTAAACAGACTATTGGTCCTTCTTCAAAAACAAACTGAACAACCAAGCTACTTTCTGGGTTGCAGCTCTGATCAACTGCACTGCAGTCAGAGGGCTGTTGTTACATATGCAGTGGCTGATTGTTTCTGTGTAGTCACTACAGGCAAGCAGTGTGCTATAGGTAAGAGGTTTCAAGTACTATATCACAAGTTTACAGGAAAGACTGTGTGTAAAATAATTTCTTGTAGGCTGAGTCTTCATCGTGGAATTTGGGAGAGAAATTTGCTCAGTTTGTACTCCAGCTTCCAAACTATGCATAAGCTTAAGTATTCTTAAGAGTACTTTGAATAAAGTTTCTTTATGTGAAGATCTAATATAATAGAAATCACGTGCTTTGTGTATTTACACTTTGCCTTTTATGCTGCAGACGAGGGGACAATCTCTTCCCAAAGAATCCTGATGGCACAATGCGTTATGACTACACTGACTACAAGGATACCTGGAAGGCTATGGAGAAGCTGGTAGAAAAAGGTCTTGCAAAAGCCATTGGGCTGTCAAACTTCAATAGTCGTCAGATTGATGATGTATTAAGCGTGGCTACTGTCAAACCAGCCGTGCTCCAGGTAAGATGAATAAAGGAGATGAGGAGGAGGTATACCTTCCTGGTTTTCCATGGGAGTGAAGAAAACCAGTGCTGTCTGTTTAGCACAAGGAGTGCAGCTTCTGATGTACAAGGAGGAGTATATTCATGCATGCAGGAGTAGACACACAGAGGATCCTTCCAGACAGGTGAATTAAATGGGGAAAAAGTCCTGTATCCACGTTTGTGGCCATTACACCTATTTAGTTGACAACTCTTCCGCAGAAGAGTTTGTTTCTTCCTGGGAGGATCAATTTAGTCTACAGGAAAAAAAAAGATTGAGGGACTAACTTAAATCCCTCCTATAGAGCTCCCTTGCTTGTTGGATGATCTGTTCGATACATGGAGATAAATCCAGCACTCTAAGGTTAAGCAATCTGTTTTTCTTTTACAATAATCTTAGGCTACCATGCCATTTTTCCTTGTAGTTATAGCTTCATAAGGTTTTCCAGAACCTGCAATGACCTCTTGTGATATGCTTGATTCTGCTGAGCTTTTCACCTCCTGTTTATTTAGAGCTCTGTATTGATAATTTTCCCTTGGCCACTCTTTGTGGGTCATTTCAATAGGTAGAATGTCATCCTTACCTAGCCCAGAACGAGCTGATAGCTCACTGCCAGAAACGAGGGCTGGTTGTTACTGCCTACAGTCCCCTGGGTTCTCCTGATCGCATGTGGAAACACCCAGATGAGCCTGTGCTTCTGGAGGAGCCTGGGATCAAAAAACTGGCAGAAAAATACAAGAAGTCACCTGCACAGATCATCCTCAGGTACAGAACATTTGAGAGAGGGTGGCATCTGGGACCTGGCCTTAAATAAAGCTCGAAAGCGTCTACTTTAGGATATATGTTTTTCCCTATAAAGTGGGGAGTTAGAATCAGAAAGTGCCAAAAGCAAACCCAATTGCTGCTTGTTTTAGATTAGCATGTGGCCAGTTGCTTGAACCTTACAGCCCCTGCTATTGCATTTAAAAGAGCTCTATGGAAGAGAGATTGTGGAAGGGACTTACCTTCCTTCACAATGAAGAACTGTTTGCTGCTTTGTGCTTAGGTAACAGAAGCTGTACTGGGAAACAAGGTGGTTGAGTGATATCCAGAATGTGATTAACAGTTTGTGAAATAGCTCTGGGTTGCTATCCTCATTCTTTTGTTTGGCTTTATATCTAGCACAATCTTCGGCTGGTAGGGTAACTTAACTGCTGCCCAACATGCTGAAGGCTTTGTTCTCAAGTCACCAGAAAATCACTTGGGGGTTTTGTGTGTTTTACTGGTGTTTTTGGTGGTCATGCTAGAATTGATATAAAACTGTTATGTACATTTTTTCTGTTTCTTGGGTTTGTGGCTCAACACCTGAAAACTGCTTGTTCAAAGGAATGGACATCTTCCTTTCATCAGTTAGTCTGGTGGTCGCTGTTTTGCTACATCCTAATACAACAGTGCTGCGTTGGTCTTCTTTGGGGTATTTTGTTTACAGAAACCATAAGTGGCATCTCGGCTGCCACTGATAATTGTTGAACCAAAATAAATGTCAGGATTCTTGGGTAGCGTGCATAGAAAATCTCTCTCTTCCTCCCAACAGATGGCAAGCGCAGCGTAAAGTGGTTACTATTCCCAAAAGTGTCACTCCTGCTCGCATTCTGCAGAATCTCCAGGTAAGCTCAGGCAGAGATGGGGAGTTTCAGCAATGTCCTTTCATGTGAGTAACATATTGTCCTGCTACAACAAACTGAGGCACGTGTTTCACACCAGTCAAAGTGTGCGTGTGCATAGGAGGGAAGTTAAAGATATTAGGAAAACAAAAAAGTTTCAAGCAACATTGTGCATTTGTGTACAGAAATTATTCGAACATTGACTTGCAGTAATTCGGTGGGTCTCTGAATCACCTCCTGTGATTTTTTTTCCATCCCTTAATCAGACACTGGCAGGTTGCATGCTTGTTTTTAAGCAAGGATTTGTTTCTGCAGCTGTTAATTCCATTAAACCAAAGTCTGAGATGCAGTACTCTGCTAGAAAGTGCTAAAAACTCCAGTGAACAATGCAGTTAGTCAAGGTTTAGATCTGTGTGGGAACAGAACGCTGGTTCAAGGGGAAGCATTTGGAAGAACAGTCCCACTGTTCTTCATTTTTGTGGAAGAGAGCTATGGAGTATCAGTGATGGTTTAGAATTAGCAAGCATGTGAACACTTCCATTTTTAAGCTTTTGTTTCAGTATTTCTGGTAAAATTTATATACTTGCAACTTCATATTTATAAACTGAACACAAAGTAATGCTGTTAGAAGCCAGGGTTTTTACAGGTGCATAACTTCCATTGTTTAGAGCTGTGTGTAAATTCCTTCTGCTTGAGGCCAGGACTTTTACCAAAGTCAAAGATTCTTAAGATGTTTGAAATGTAACAACTGGCAGTACTTTTCCTTGGGTTTTAACACAAGGATCTTGCAACTCTAATATGGCCCATAGGTTTTATTTTTTGAAAATAAAGAAATATTATGCGACTGCAGCTTAATTGATTGTGTGTATGTTGCCTCTATGGTTTTTAACTGTCACCTGAAATTAAATGCTGAAAGAGTTCAATGTGTAGGGTCACTGCTGCTGATACTAACTGTCCTGGATTGCTGAGGAGTGGAATTTCACTCTGCAGAAATTCATGACCCAGGGGGATGTTTGTGGCTTCTAAAGGAAACAAAAAGGAAGCAAAATTCAACAGAATTCAATATGAAAAGGTATGGTTACTGAACTAAGGCTCTTGCTTTTGTTCTTAGGTATTTGATTTCAGTCTCACAGAAGAGGAGATGAGCCACATTGGAAGCCTGAATAAAAACTGGCGTTACATTGTGCCAATGCTTACGGTAAAATCCTCGCATTTTTAATAGTTTTGATTATGTGCATGTGGCCACAATGTGGGTTTTCTGTAGTTTTCTTTTTCTATATCCTGTCAGAACTACGTATGAGTTAGAGCACTACCTCTTTTTAGGGTTTCTAAGCTGAAATAATTTTTCAAAAGAAAAGCTTATGAGAGCTTCAGGGCCATGCTTTTAACTGTAGGGTTACTTGTGTGGTGTGTGTGTAAATATAAATTCCCACATCCCTGCAATCAAAATTCTCTTTGCTTATGGGTTGGGAGTTTGTACCAAACTGCCAGCTTAGCTGCTCGTGTGTGAATGTGGTACTGATAAACACACCTGCTGCTGACAGGATGTTTCTTTCAAGTGTTTTCCTGCTTGTGCTGCAAACAAAGTTGTTTTTTGGTAACAAAGCTGCAAAATACATTTGGAACATAGCCTGGCTCAGACTATCCAGGGACAATGCATGTGGTTTTGTTAGCTGGGAGATGTGATCAGATCAATGACATTCAGAGAAGAAATGAAATACAGTTCAAAGTGCTAGCTCATCCAGCTAGATAAAGGTGTGAGTATGATGCAGCTGGGCTTCAAAGATATTGCCATGCTGACAGATAATAAGAAAGGAAGAAGCGAGATGAGGAGAAGTAAACTGTTACACTAGCTGTAAGATCTCAAGCGGAACCTTTTGTCTCCAGCCCATCCCTTCCAGGAGTATCAGAAAGAATTTTCATCATCTGTGAATTAAAATGCCTGTCTAACCTTTCATGCTTTTCTCCTTTATGAATTTAATTTATAGTGTCTGGATTTCAAAGTGTGATGCAGCAGTGTCGTAACTGATGAGACAGTTTTCCCTTGCTTTACCTCGCTGGTACATAACCACAGAGTCTCATAGTTGTGCCACTCCTCTTCACCTTGTTGTTTTGCTCTAAGTCTGATATGAATCTATTATATTGCATGTAGGCAGTTTAAGACGTTTTATATTTTAATAGATCATTACCAGGATAGAGGCTGGAAATTGTTTAGCCATGCCTGGTATCAGCCTGACATCCAAACTTCTAGAAACACAGGCTAAGAAATATACATAAGCAAAATTGAATGACAAGCAAGCCAGGACAGGAGGAGAGGTGGTGCTGTACACATAATCTGTCCTTTTCTGATAGTTAGGTGCTGTTGATCTACAGTGTCTTCGCTGCTGATTTACTCCCCTTTGTCCTTCAGATTCCTGGGGTAGTCTGGAAACAGCTGTATACAATGTTGCTTCTGGCAGCTGCTGTTTTGGCATGCTGCTAACAAATACAGATACCTGAAGAGCTGATCCGAGTAGGGAAAATATGCAGGGGAAAGTAACTGGGGCAGGAGGAGGTGGGAGAGATAAGAAATGTGAATTCTAGGAACTTGCAGTTGTTGGCTCTCAAAAGCATATGAGAAAACATGAAGATAGTTTTGTCCATAGTTTTAAGTATTGCCTTCAGCTGACAGTTCCATTTCACCTTAATTTTATTTTAAACTGAGCACCAGCCGAATATTAAACCGTAGCATCCTGGTTTTGTGCTCTCGAGTGCCCCCAAGTGACTATTTTTACAGTCCCCTGGTTCTTGTAAACTAGGGATTCCAGTCGCTTTGAAATGTGGGATTTAATCTGAAAGCTAATAGAGGGACTTGATAGAAGATACTTGATTTGAAAGTACCTGTGATTGCCTCTGCCCCCATAACATTTTGAGTGATATCTAACATCACAGTAGTATAAAAATCACATGTATAAAAATCATTCATGTTTAACGTGACTTTTACTCAGCCATTATGTGCTTAGTATAAGTTTTAACTGAATGATGCTACTCTCCTGTGGAGATGCATCTCCTTGCTGATGCTGCACATAAATTTCCTCAGACATCACAGATTAGGAGCAAGGTTTTAGCCCAGCTCCTAGTGAATGGGGATTTTGCAGTGGACTTAATACACCTAGGAATGCAATTTGTGTGTGTAAATGCTCAGCAGTGGGACATAGAAACTGAGACTTCTGTGTGACTACGTCTGCATTGGGCCACCCAAACTCTTTGTTTCATTATCAACAAATATTAGTTTCAGTATTCCCATTTTACAGCTGGAAAAACTGGTTAGTCATGAAAATGTTCTTATAATAGGTGTGTTATTAAAAAGTGCTGGGAAGGAGTTCAGTGACACTGGTGTTTCAGTGTACGATCCATGTGTTAAATTGGCAGTCCATCAACTCTGTCATGAAAAGATGGGCAAAAGTGCTGACTTCTGCAAAGTGCTGTGAAGCACGTACACTGCAGCATTTATTCAGTAATGGCTACAAGGCAAAATGCTTAACTACGCTTAATTTGGTTCTTCAACCCTAAGAAGCTGGAAGAGAGACTCTTGCTTTAGGCTACAAAAAATATTTATTTCTAGAAGTGCTAAGACGACTTGGGAGTAGAGGGAACAACTCTTGAGTAAGCTCAAGAAGATCTCCCAGATATTTGACATATGAAGACTTACCAGTTGAAACCATTAGAATTTGAAAGAGAGAAAGAATGGATCTTTATCTTTCTGACATGTGTCTGTTTACTTCACAGGTGAATGGAAAGCCAGTACCAAGAGATGCCGGACACCCCCATTATCCATTCAATGATCCCTATTAACTACTAGAAAATAAGGTGTTAGAATAACATGCTCCTCTATATACTTTTCCTGCACAGTAATTAGTGCCATAATTTGTAAAAAAAAAACACCCAGCCCCATCTATACAAAACCTTCTTTCCTGAGTAGGTTTTCTTATAGTGTACTGCTTTTCATTGACCTTCTTTCTGGAGATCCTGTAGCTTCCATGTCAGAATTTGTGAATTTATTACAATGACTGCAAGCTTGCCTTGGGGAGCATCAAATCTTTTGGCATTAGATAAAGAGTGGGAGAGTCTAAATCGAGTTCCAAACATCGTTATCAGGCAAGGGCAATACTTTGGTTCTGCCTGCTGAACGGTTTTCAAATCTTTATTACCATAAGTGGGGAAAAAAAAGGAAAAGCATTTTCAGACTAAACAACTGCTCAGCAATCAGCTTCAGTATCTTTGTTAATACTTTATACAAGGAATGCGGTGAAATGTGCTGCAGTTGCATTTTGTCCATAAAACAGTGATTAAAACCCAAGTTGCCAGCCATGCTGCGTGCTTTTTATCCTCTTTGGAATACTTGCGGGACTTAAAACTCTCTCCTCTTTTTCTTTCTCTTTTAATTTGTTGGTTTGAGGAGAATAAATGCGCGCCCTTGGAGCAGGCCTTCAGGGCAAGCACCTCCATTGCAGCACGGATAGCTCCTAGCTCTCAGACCTTCCTCTCCCACCAGCCTCAATACTATTAAGCCTTACAGAAATCCATCCTACCTTTCCCATGAAGTTGTCCTGTGTCTCTGTACCAAAGATGTGCAGTCTGAGTTCCGGGAGGTGGCGGGGCTCGTTCCTGCCTGCACAGTTATGAACAATGAAATAAACTGTCAGAGCACCCCTTCATGTCGCTGTGTGTCTGCCGTAACAGGGCCCCTGTCTGTGCCCCTGCTTTCCTACCAGCTGTGGGGCTGATTTTCTGAGCGCTGCTCAGAGCCGAGCAGGGCTGGAAGGCTGCACCGAGGTGTTTTGTTCCGTTCCTGCCCTTCACGACCAGCCCTGCCTTCGGAGAACGAAGAACCTGAGCTCTGAGAAGCTGCACGGTGATCCCACCTGCGGCCTTAGCGGAGGAACCAGTGCTTTATTTTGGTTTTCTCTACTTGTTAGACGATAAGTGCCGGCTTGCTTCGGCGCAGGCACGGCTGCGGATTTCTGAGGGCCTTTTATAAGGGACTCTCGAGCAGCCATAGCCGCGCACCGCCTCACCTCACGGCCCCGCTGCCGGACTGCAGTTCCCAGCAGGCAGTGCGGCGGAGCGGCATTTCCCGCCGGAGCGGCATTTCCCCGCGCTCCGCCTCAGCCGCACTACACTTCCCAGCGCGCCGCGCGGCATCTCGGCGGCGACTCCCTCCTGGGACTACAGTTCCCAGCAGCCCTCGCGCGGCGGCGCCCTGAGAGCCCCGCAGAGTGCGGGCGCGCGGCATGCCGGGAGCGGTAGTCTTCCTACGGCGTGCGCGCGCCGCCAGGCGGGCCGGGGCGTGTCCTGGGGGGTATATAGGCAGCCGGAGGGGTAGGGGGCTGCACTCTGCCGCCGCCGCCCCTCTCTCCCGTAGCTTCCATGCAACCTTCGGCCGCCGCGCGCTGCGTTGAGCCCGCGTCGGTCGCCCCGGATAGGTAGGGCCGCGCGGGGAGGCCCGGGCGCGTCGAGGCGGGCGGCGAGGGGAAGGGGCCGCTTCGACTCCGTGCGGGCGGCCGCGGAGGCGGCAGCGGGCGACGGGCGGGCTCCCCCGCGGCGGGGAGGGCCGCGGAGCCGGGGGTGCCGGGCGGACCGGCCGCCCTCTTCCCGCCGCTCTCCACCGCGCGGGGGTTCGTGCCGCCCCGCTTCGCCGGGGCCAGCTGGGCCCGCTCGGCTCGCGCGGAGCCACCACGTGATCCCTGCGCGGCTGCTGCCATCTTTCTTGGGGGCAGCCGACGCCGCCCGACCTGCCCGGGCGGGGTGGGCCGGAGGGAAGGGCGGTGGGAGGGCGCGGTCACGTGGCGCGGGGCCCTCAGCCCGTCAGGAGCCGCCGTGGGGTTTGGCGCCAACGGCGGGGGCGGGGCGACGGGAAGGCGGGAAGCGCCCATTGTCTGCGAGGGGCGGCCGGGCCGGGGCCGCCCTCAGCGCCCGGCCCCCTTCCGGCCCCGCCGCGGCCGTCGGCGCCGCTCCGAGGCCGGCCCTCGCGCGTCCCGTCCCGCTCACGGCTCGCTCTGCCCGCGCAGGATGGAAGAGGACCTGGCCGCCCCCTCCACGTCCGCGGACAGAACGGACAGGTGAGGCCCCGCGCCGGGCTGCGCTGTGCGGCTTCCGCGGAACCGGCCGAGCTCCGGCCGCCCGCACGGCGCCTCTCGTGCCCGCGGAAGCTCACGGGGCCCCGCGTTGGGTTCCTTTTTGCAGCATGGACGTGGACGCGGAATCCAAGAAGCTGCTGGGGCTGGGACAGAAGCACCTGGTGATGGGGAACATCCCGGCTGCTGTGAACGCCTTCCAGGAAGCTGCCAGCTTGCTGTGAGTAGCGGAGTGCCCGGTGTTTGCATCCGTGCTGCTGTACGGGGAGCCTGAGCTGCTTACCGTGCTGCTGTGGTTACGGTGTGCGGACTTGTGAGGTTAGCTTGGGTGCAGGACGTGCCGTGGTGGGCGTGCCGTGCCGTGCCGCAGTCCTCGAGGGAGGAAAAAGGACTCGGTGTTTTCTTTCTCCTGGCGAGGCTCTGATGTGGTCTATTCGTGTGCTTGCAATGGAGTTGTGTCACTTGCTCGATCCTTGCTAGGCTCGGTCAGTCTCTGAGGCTGATGCTTCTTGGAGTCTTAATGAACTTGCTTTGCTGGATGCTTCCAAGAGCCAACTGTATGTAAGTGAAGGGGGCTTCCATCCCTCCTTCACAGTGCTGAGTGAACCATGAAGCTGCTGCTGTCCAGGAGCTTTTGTCTGTAAAGCTCAGGTATCAAAGCCTCTGAATGTAACACAGGCAAATAATGCTTTGTTACTTTTGTAGGGGTAAAAAGTACGGTGAGACAGCGGATGAGTGTGCAGAAGCTTTTTTTTATTATGGAAAATCGCTCCTGGAGTTGGCAAGGTATGCTAATGGTTGTTTGTTTACAGTGACTGTCCTTGAATGCATGGTGTGCTTCCTTCAGGGGGTTGATCTGTAGCTGAGCAGTGACTGTGTGCTCCTTCCTGAAGGGACTGGTTTAAAGCTTGGTAACTGAGTATGAAAAATGGTGCTAGGAATAGTGCTTCTGGCAGAAAACAGCTATGCTGCTTTGAAACCTGATAACATACTGTGGTTTGTTCTCTGCTATTTAAGGAGTGTTTCTTAGTAGCAATGCTCTTCCATGAAACAGAAGACAATGATGGTTTTTCTCCAGAAAAGTATGGACATGTGCAACATCAGTAAATAGCTTCATCTAATAACACCTGTTGTGTCAGGGAAGCACGTAACACTCAGGCACCCAAAGTCTGGCTGGGGCAGTGGGGCTTTGTCCCTTGGTGGGCAGGGTTATGCTGGGTGGAACGTGCTGTGGCGGTGCAGCTTCCACAGTTAAAGTGATGTAGTTACAAGAACCAAGTGATAATGATCTCTTCCTTCTTTTAGAATGGAAAATGGTGTACTGGGAAATGCCTTAGAAGGGGTGCAGGTTGAAGAGGAAGGAGAAAAAGCTGAAGATGGTTCTGCGTTGCCGGCTGTTGATGGTATGTAAAGTTGTCAGCTGTGTCACGGAGGTACAAGCTGTGTTTTTGTCTAAGTGGTCTAAGTCAGTACATCGGTGTCCTTGGTAGTCATTCTGTTGAAACTTCTGCAGCCAAAATGGACTTTTTTGTTCTTCTTATCTTGCTTAAAGATGAACAAAACTCCTGCAGTGAACTTATTGCTTAAGCACGTGTCAGGGGTCACCAGATGTCTGTGTTCTGAAATGCTGCATTCAAACTTGCTTTCTTAAGCTTCAGGGTCAACTTGAACTGCTTTGTAACCTTGTAGCAGTACAGTGTGTGTAGCAGGACAGGACAGTATTGAAAATGTCCAAGAAAGATACTTTGTACTGGGCAGCTGGAGATAAGCAGGAATTCCTGTAATCCAGACTATTAAAACACTGGCATCTCTTGCTTAGCTGCGACTAAAATCGCTAGCGCAAACTGCACACTGCTTGAGCAGCTGCTTGCAATAATGCAGTCTGGGGAAGGGGTCTGCTTAGTTTGAGTTACGTTGGTTGCATCCCATCCTAATTCCTTGTGCTCTGAAAAAAGAGCTTTTAGGAATGGAATGCCATCTAACCTGATGACAAACCAACACACTGGAGGGTCGGAGGGTGGTATTATCAATGCCCGTTAATGTCTTGATCACTAAACTCGAAGAAATGTTTATGCTTCCTCAATCATGTAGAAGAAGCAAGGGAGGAGTTAAGAGAACAGGTATATAATGCCATGGGGGAGAAAGAAGAGGTGAAGAAGTCTTCAGTGCTAACTGAGAAGGAAATCAAAGGAGAGGATGTTGAAATGGAAGATGTTACAGAGGAAAAGCCAAAAGAAGACACAGTTACAGATATGGAGGTAAAGCTTGAAGGGTCTGAAGTGAAGACAGGGACTTCTGTGGAGAAAGTAAATTCAGAAGAGCTTGACAAGCAGACAGCTGTGGAAAAGAATACAGAAGAACCGGCTGTGGAAGAGAAGGCAGTGGAAAAAGAGCAGAACACAAAACATGAAGAAGCAGAGGCAACTGAGGGGAAGAACAGCATGAAAGAAGTGTTGGATGAGGAGGTGAAGGCAGCTGTGGAAGAGGATGAAGCTGCAGAAGCATCTGCAGAAAAGAAGGGAGGGGCAAGAGAGCAGACAGCAGAAGCAACAGAAACTGAGACAGCTGTGGAAAAGGGAGAATCTATAGAAGGGCAGGCAGAAGTGGCTGTGGAGGAGAAGGCAAGGTCACAAGAAGGGACAGCAGAAGGGCAGGCAGCGGTCATGGCAGAGCAGAAAGAAGCTGCAGAAGAACAAGCAGAAGCAGCTGAAAAGAAGGTGGAGTCAGCAGAGACGGCTCCAGGACAGAAACCAGATGAATCTAAAGAGATGGATTCCTCAGAAGAGCCAGTGTCTGCAGTGGGTGAAGATCCAGCTAGTGATACTGGAGAAAAGACTGAAGTGGCTGCTAAGGTAGAGAAAGAGGAAAAGAAAGATGACCTGATGGAAGAGAATGAAGGTGCTAAGGTAGAAAAAGAAGAGAAAGATGACCAGATGGAAGAGGGAGAAGGTAACAGTGAGAAGAAAAGTACTTGTGGGTGGATGACTTGCTGGATTTGGCTAACAATGGGTAAAATGTTCCATTCAGAATTTTCTGTTTGCCTTAAAACGAGGAAAAAGGGGGTTTAGAAGGATTTTATATCTGAGTAACTGGTTTCAGTAAAGTTTCAAGAAATAGAGAATCATCTCAGTTTCTTTAGACTAACGCTTAACTAACTGCAAAGCAAATCTTTAAAGCAAACTTACAGTGCTGTGAAATGTGTAAGTAAAGGCTAGGCTGGTGGAGAATACTGAATGGATGTTCACTTGCATGCGTCTGGGTTTAATGCACTAACCTTCAAATAACTCAAATCATGAGTTGCCTCTGGTTATAACCATACTTTAAAACAGTGGAGTAGAAAAATAAGAACTGCTGAATATATAATGAAATGATAAATTTGCTTTCCAGAGGGCAGGGAGTAACTTTCTTTTTGAGTCTTCCTAGCAGTAATCAAAAGTGAGAATTTGGCTGATGACCCTAAATCTAATTTGCCCTGGAACCTGCAGATTCATTGCTTCCATCTCGTGCAGTTTTGCACCTACCTAGCTTTTTCTGCCATTCTGCTTCCCCGCTTCATTATGGCTGCTTACAAGGTTAAAGTC